CACCAAACCCACGCCTAAAGGGGTTGCTACGACCAGAAATGTAGCGAATATCACCGCTACTGTATCAGTGTTCATTTCACAATGCGCATCTGTCAAGATTGCGTGAAGATTCATAACGACAACGCCAAAGCCAGCTAACTGTTGCCAACAACTCACGCACATTACTATTAGCAATGTCTTTAAGCTGTTTTCCTCCTTTATGAACTCTCCAAACGTTATCCTTTCGCCTTCCCTTAGTGGTTCTTCTAAAACCTGCGCTTCGGCGCTGTCTCGAGTGGGTTCGGGCGTGCATGGAAAACTCACCATTTGCAACAATAGAAAGGCAACCCCAATCAATGACGAAGTCAAAATAGGCAACAGAGGTACCAAAATGTAGACAATTACGACACCCAACAGCATCATCACGTTGATCACCGAGTTCAACCACTGACGTGATCTTTTGTCGGAAATTTCGGCAATGTACAGAGAAGCACCGACCGATGCAACCCTCGCCGCCAGCCCGGCCAGGAATCGTGCCAAGTACACCAGCTTGATAGTCCCAGCAAGTGCGATAACAATCCATGCTGTCACGCTTAAACCATTAGCCGCCAAAATCGGTTTTCTTCCACCGTATCTTTTCACTGCGACATCAGCGATTGGCACACCAGCCAGCACTCCCAAAAGTAACCAAACCTCAATCCATACAATTTGGCGAGGGTGAAACTCGAACGGGCTTTTGTCCGACAGCAAAATTGGCAGTACGGGTGACGACCACCCATAATGCATACCGTCTGATATTATACCGAAGGTTACTGAAACGAAGGGTAGCTGACTTTTTGGACATTAAACACGAACCCACCTGAAACTGTTGCTAGTGCCTGATAAATTGCCTTTGTCATCTTTCTACATGCTGAAATTGGAACGACTTGGAACAGCGTTTTAGATATCAATGCCAAACAAATACTTATATGAGTAATCTCCACCAGGAAAATAGAGGGGAGTCGATAAATCCAATTAAAGCGTTTGCTATCAATGGCAGATAATATGCGTGCATAATCAACTGAAATAGTTTTCCATAGGTATTTAAACTCCTTGTCGCATGCGCGTATAGTACATGCTTACAGCAAGTACATGTCGCCTTTTTTCCGGGTCGATCTGAGACAATTTTTTTTCTCGGGAAAACACTTTTTTTTATTAATTTTGGGGCGTAGAATCCAAAACGATACGTACTTTTTCGATTAGACTTCTCAATTAAAAGTTATGGACTAGAAACCAATTTCGAAAAAAATTCAAAGGGCTGTAACTTTTGAACTAGCAGCCCAATCTTGGAACTGTTTGAAATTATGGATTCTACAAAGGCCACATTCTATAAGAAAATCTTTTTTTTCCCGGTCGATCACCCGTGCGGTTAGGCACCCATCGGGCGCGTCCCCAGGTGGCGGATAGGGGAACGCCCACGCAAGCCCTGAATGATCGTAAGGTGACAAGTGTCTTTGTGTGGGTAGTAGCGATTATAAGTTGCTCGTCGGGGCTGAAACCCAGACTGGCAGCAACGAAGGTCGCTACCGCGGACCAACCTCCCAAGTCAAGGTGTTAGCTACCGTGCTGAGGACTGCGTGACACTGGGGTGCAGTGTCGATAACGGTGCCCCTCGGATACCGGGCGACCTCCGAGTGGTATTGTAGCCAAGCCCTGCGCAAGCGGCTCTGCGCAGGTGATACCGCTCTTCCGCATTACTCGTGGGAACAATATGGATACAAGTAAACATAATTTTCCTTTACAGGGCTCCTCGTCAGGGGGGACCAATGAACCAGGGCCACAACAGGGGTCCTGTGTAGGGGCAGGCTCCTCGAAAGAGGGGACAGCCCCAAAGCAGGGCTCCACCCAAGGACCTGGACCAGCTCCGTCCCGTAAGAAGAACAGGACGGGGGCGCAAAAGGCGTTGGCCAGGAAGCGGCGGCTCGAGGGTAAAACCTCGGGTCAGGTGCTAAAATCGAAGGTTGCGACTGGGTCGGTGGCTCAGGAAGGCGAACCGACGTCTGGGACCAAGCGTCTCAGATCGGAGGGTAGCACTCCAGGGTCTGGCTCGGTGCAACCTCAAAAGAAGTCCAAAGGTCCTGGGGCACCCACGGGTGCACCGGGGACCTATGGGCAAGTCGCTGCGGCGGGCCTCAAGGTGGCTATCCTACCGGTGTCGTACCCGGAGGTGGACCTCACTGAGGCTCAGTCGAGGTGCATTATGGCTGCACTAAATGTGGCTGTAGACGACTTGGAGGTCGGGCCTTTTCCGAGGCTGGCCGGGTTCCGCTGGAACTCGCATGGGGTCGTTGTGGCTGAGTGCGAGGACCAGTGGACTCTGGACTGGCTGGAGAGGACCGTCTCTCTAATCAAGCCTTGGGAAGGTGCGTCTCTGAAAGTACAGAGGCACGTCCCAAAGGTGGTAAAGGTGATGGCAGTGTTGCACGGGCTCCCGGATGACACGGCCATCATTTTAAAGCGCCTCCATAGGCAAAATCCTGGGCTCAGGACGAACTTATGGAGGACGTTCTTCCGCAGGGAGGAGCCTGGTAGGGTGCTTCTCGCATTTGGTGTGGATGAGGCATCCTACAGGGCACTCCAGCGGCAGAACCTTAAGGCGCACGAGGGGGTCTCCCACGTCACTTTCGTGACGAAGGCGAGTGCTCCGGCTGCGCAAGCAAAGGGAGAGGGCTCCGCCGGAGCAGCGGGACCCAGTTCCGCTGCAATGGAGGGGGTCCAACCCTTAGGTGGAGACCTCGAGGCGTTGGAATTAGAACTGGCGCCCTCGCAGGTCGACGAGCTGTTGGCTCGTGTGGCGGTCCTTGGCTCCGAGATGGGGTCAGAGCCGTCGGCATCTTTAGAGGAGGGGGGAGCCTAAGTACATCGGTGATGGACAAGGTAACCTTCTTACAGAGCAATTTGCAACACAGTAAGGGGGCGACCTGCTTAATAAGCCGCCAACTTTCTGTAAGGCAGACAGGCGTTTGCCTCATACAAGAACCTTGGGTTTACAAGGGACGAGTAAGAGGCTTAAGTCAGGTTGAGGGCTCACTTTATTATAAGAGGGACAGTCAACTGAGTACCAGGACTTGCATATATGTCGACAGACGCATCGAGTCTTATTTAATGGCTGATTTCTGTTTTAGGGATCTAGTGGCTCTAAGACTTCAGCTGAAAGATGGAAAGGGACGGAGCAGGCAATTAGTAGTCTGCTCAGCGTATCTACCATATGACTCGGAAGAAGCTCCACCTCCCAGGGAGCTAGCTGAGTTGATAGAGCACTGTCGGAGTGAAAGGCTCCCTCTTGTGGTTGGCTGTGATGCAAATGCACATCACGTTGTGTGGGGCAGCACGGACACGAACTCGAGGGGCGAACACATTCTGGAGTACTTGCAGACAACTGATTTGAATGTTTTAAATCAGGGAGAAACCCCCACCTTCGTTACGTCGCGGAGGCAGGAGGTCATTGATCTAACGTTGGGCTCTTTCTCTATAGCTCACATGATCTCAAACTGGAGAGTGTCTGATGAACCGTCTCTTTCGGATCACAGGCACATTCTTTTCCAACTAAACCTGTCATTCAATGGTGGGCCCTGTAAGTTTCGGAATCCCCGAACCACCAACTGGGACTGCTATGTTGAAAAACTGACAGAACGGTTGGATAAACCACCTTTGCTCTGCCGGAAAGCAGGGCAGGTGGAAGAGGCGGCGGCAATGATAAGCGACGCTATAACGGCGTCGTTTGAAGACAGCTGCAAGCTGCGAACTGTTCGGGGAATGAAGAGAACACCTTGGTGGAACTCGGACCTTGAAAAAGTTCGTAAAGAGGTTCGAAGGCTCTTTAACAGGGCCATGCGTACTAAGTTACCTGCGGACTGGGAGGATCACAAACTCGCACAGCGCAGATATAAAGACCACATTCGACGGTCTAAACGGGGATCGTGGAGGACTTTCTGTGGCAACATGGAAGGGCTTCCCGAAGTTCAAAAACTTCGTAAGGTCCTTTTGAAAGATCCAGGGCAAAAAGTGGGGACGCTGAGGCTTCCATGCGGCAGATTTACATCTAACGCGGGTGAGGCCCTCACATGTCTCCTGGAAACACATTTCCCAGGCTCTGGAGACTATGTAACTTCGGAACCGCCAGAAGGTGCTACCCGGGTCGGTGCAAGGCCGATCGACTGGAGAGTAGCTGCCGGGGTTGTTACCAAGGGATCCCTGAGATGGGCTATCAATACGTTTAGCCCATTTAAGAGCGCAGGACCTGATGGGATATTTCCGGCTCTTTTGCAAAAGGGCCTGGAACCATTACTTCTGCACTTGTTGCACCTCTTTAGGGCCTCTGTGGCTTTGGGGTACATCCCATAAGCTGGAGAAGGGTCAGAGTTGTGTATTTACCTAAGCCGGGTCGTACTAAGTACGACACAGCAAAGGATTATAGGCCCATCAGTCTATCATCGTTTCTTTTAAAAGCGGTAGAAAAACTGGTGGATGCATACATAAGAAACGGGGCGCTGGTCCTTAGACCACTACACCCGTTTCAACACGCTTACAGAGCTGGCATGTCCACGGAGACGGCTCTTCACAGTCTCGTGTGTAGACTGGAGAGGGGAATGTCTGATGGAGGGGTAGCTCTGGGAGCCTTTTTGGACATCGAAGGTGCGTTTAACAACACCACGTTCGATTCCATTAGTGAGGCTGCTGAAAGCTTTGGCATTGACGGGTCAATCGTAAGATGGATCCGGGCCATGCTTGGAGGTAGGGTCATCATAACCTCGATCGGAACTACGGAGATGAGCTCATCGGTCACTAGAGGATGTCCGCAGGGTGGAGTACTGTCTCCACTACTGTGGTGCCTGGTGATAGACGGGCTCCTTCGTACACTAAACGAGGATGGAGCGTATACACAGGGATACGCAGACGACCTCGCAATTGTCATTGTGGGGAAGTTTCCGAGCACCGTAAAAGAGCTCATGCAGAGGGCTCTTGGACAGGGGGATAGATGGTGCAGTAGCCACGGTCTCTCTGTCAACCCGGAAAAGACCGAAATTGTTCCATTTACGAGGAGACGGAATGTGGACCTTAACGGTCTCATCCTTCGAGGACGCCAATTGTGTCTGACCAGGGCAGTTAAATATTTGGGGGTCACTATAGACTCCCGTCTGTCCTGGAAAGGGCACATTGAGCGAATTAGCAAGAAGGCCACTGCATGTCTATGGGCATGCAGGAGAGCTTTCGGCTGCACATGGGGATTAAATCCTCGATTAGTATATTGGCTTTACACTTCGGTGATAAGGCCGATAATATTGTACGGCGCACTTGTATGGTGGCCTGCAACGCGCAGGGTAACATACAAGAAGCAGCTGAGTAAGGTACAGCGACTCGCTTGTTTGGGAATCACTGGAGCCATGAAAACCACGCCAACGTTGGCTGTGGAGGCTCTTCTGGGACTTGAACCTCTACACTTATCGGTAGAGGCCGAGGCCCGGAGGGCTTCCATAAGACTAAATGATTGGGGTGAGTGGAAGGATAGAGGCAGTCTCGGACACGGGCGGATCTGGGAGGAAACTCTTAGGTCCGACCCCTTCCTCGCAAGAAGGGACGTGATTCGAGCTACCCTACTTGAACCGAAGAGGTATAAAGTCATTCTCCCGGACAGGGAGCAGTGGCTGAACCCAGATCGTCCGTTCCTCAAACCTGAGGGGCTCGTGTGGTTTACCGATGGGTCCCTAACGGAAAAGGGAACGGGCATGGGTATACACGGTGACCGGCCGAGAGTAGGCATCAGCCTCTCCCTTGGCCAGCACAGTACTGTGTTTCAGACAGAGGTGCTAGCCATCACGACCTGTGCGCAAGAAAACCTCCGTAGAGGTTATCGTAACCAGCATATATACATATGTAGTGATAGTCAGGCGGCGTTAAAGGCTCTGTCAGCTGACAGGTTCCGCTCGAATACGATGCTTGACTGTAGGCGAACCCTAGATAGATTAGGTGAGTCTAATAGGGTAAGCTTGATATGGGTGCCGGGGCACTCTGGAATAGGGGGCAACGAAAGGGCGGACGAGTTGGCTCGCGAAGGCAGTAGTGGGGTCCTTGTCGGGCCTGAGCCCACCCTTGGAATTGCTCCCTCAGTTGTCAGGGTCAGGATTAAGAACTGGGCGACCAGTCAATTCCAGGCTCAATGGCAACAGGCAGCTGGACTCAGACAGTCCAAGACCTTTTTAACAGGGCCTCTTGGCAAATCTGAGTCTTCTAAGCTTCTAAACCTAAACAGAAGTCAGATTAGGAAGATCGTCGGTGTCTTCACGGGACACTGGATGGTCAACTATCACCTGCACAATATTGGGCTTGTGGAAGACCCTGCGTGCAGGTTTTGTGGTGAGGTAGAGGAAACTACCGAGCATGTAGTCTGTTACTGTGACGCTCTGATCAGGGACAGACATAAACTCCTCGGTGACAGTTACTTGGAACCGAGGGAGGTGAGGAAACTAAGGCTAAACAGGGTCTTATCCTTCATTGAAGGGAACGGGCTCTAAGCTTTGGTTGTTTAGAGAGGGGGTTAGCACAATGGGCCTTTGATGAGCCTAAGTGCTGCCTGTAAAGGCTCCCCTGATAGAATAGAATAGAATAGAATTTCCCGGTCGATCTGAGACAATTTTTTTTTCGGGCCTCAGAAAAAGGCAGTGTATAACCTTCCTTTTTTACCAAAAATCGACTGCACCAAAATTTTTCGGGAAAACACTCTTTCTTATTCATTTTGGGGCGTAGAATCCAAAACGATTCGTACTTTTTCGATTAGACCTCAATTAAAAGTTATGGACTAGAAACCAATTTCGAAAAAAATTCAAAGGGCTGTAACTTTTGAACTAGCAGCCCAATCTTGGAACTGTTTGAAATTATGGATTCTACAAAGGCCACATTCTATAAGAAAATCTTTTTTCCCGGTCGATCTGAGATAATTTTTTTTTCGAGCCTCAAAAAAAGGCAGTGTATAACCTTCCTTTTTTACCAAAAATCGACTGCACCAAAATTTCTCAGGAAAACACTTTTTCTTATTAATTTTGGTGCGTAGAATCCAAAACAATTCGTACTTTTTCGATCAGACTTCTCAATCAAAAGTTATAGACTTAGAAACCAATTTCGAAAAAAAATTCAAAGGGCTGTAACTTTTGAACTAGTAGCCCAATCTTGGAACTGTTTGAAATTATGGATTCTACAGGCCACATTCTATAAGAAAATCCCACTTCCTTACACCAATTTTGCGGCGCAAGCCTTTCTACTAACAAACTAATTTTACACACTACCAATCACGTTCCTTTTTACGTGGACTAATTGCCAGCTGAGTCAGCCAATATCACCAGACGTAGACAATGAGATAACGACGACTATAAAATAAGCAAAATATTTCCCTATCCATATCCCTCAACTCACCGGAGCCTTAAGTTTCCTAACACATTTACAAGGATCAGGACCGTATTTAAGGACCACTATCCCAAAGGCACCGTAAAAATTTTTAGAAATCCTGCCAAATAATGAGAATATTCTGGTCTAAAATCGTCATAATCGATAAATGAAGAAGTTAAAACGGTGTTATTCCACAAACACCCTTCGTTCTCCAAACTCAGTGGATGCGAGATAAATTTCTACAGGGGGGTATGCGTGTAGACCGCCGCCACCGCATCAGTATGCATACTTGCCATCCTGCCATACAAATATATCCCGCTGCCATTCCCGTTCCCGAGCATTCGAACGTCGGTTTGAGTAAACCATTAATTTTCGGTCTACTTACGAACGAGCGATAAATGACAGTACTCGAGACCGAAAGTCCACCGAGAACGCGGAACTGGTTTATAGGGGATGCAATGTCCTGCATTTTACAGAACCAAAATTTGAAAGCTCAATTTTGGCCACACCAGCAGTTGCAGTAAAATGTTCTGTGATTCATAGAACCAAAGTCGAGACTTTTTTCTGGCGTTACTAGCAACTGTAGTTAATCTTGACAACCGCAGTTCAAAATTAATTAAAAGAACTCTATCAATCAATAAATAATAAAATAAAAATAAAGCGCGAGAGAAGAGAGGCAAGTAAAAGGGGATAACTAAACCCCCAGTTAAATTTAATAAAAATTACGTTTGCAGTTCGCATGTAGCATGTGGCAACTTATATTTAATGCTCAATAACTGAGATCCGGACGCATGATCTCGAACGGCTTAATTTTAATTAATCCCAATAAAATGCATTATGCCTGTCCCTGAATCACGCCCCACCGTGAACATATATATTATGATTAAAAAGGCTACTTGCAAATACAAATATATATCTCTCAATTGATTAATCTTAATTGAAAAGAATTTATCCTGTTGTGAAGTATTTTAGTAATACTCCACTCTATCTTTGAATACCCCCGAACGCTTCATTTACAAGTTAAATATCCATTCCTTAAGAACAATAGAAACAATTCCATGCTAGAAACGTAAATTTATCGCCTTTACTGTTTTAGTCTATAACCGATTTCTGTTTGTGCCCCATGCCATAAATTATTAGTTCGGTACCGTGTTTAAGATCGTAAGCTAGCGCGTCTGTTTTGTTCAAAAAAATGGTTTATTCGGAAAAAGGGTACGTAACGGGTAATGCATATTAGTAATAACGAGGATCTAACATAAATAGGCGCAACAAAATGTGTCGTCTGCGAAGTTACAAAGGGCGTACGCATTTGTTTACACGCTACGATAAATCGTAACGATGTGATTGTGAAATTTTTTGTTCAAATAAATCGAAAGAGTGAGTACTGTTTACATTGTAACAATTTCTTGTTCCAATATTCATTGTCGACATAGATATATGAGAATGAGAATGTCACTGACCACTGGCGACTCCAGGGTTTCATTGCTAAACAGACAATACAAGGTGGTCCCATGACTCGATGGACAGAGCTTAACATCATATTCATTGGTCAATTTCAAGTCGAAATTGCCTTGTACACTTTGTCCAAATTACGGGCAGTCGGGGCAGTATTAATAATTTGACAATAAATTGATCCAAGAGGCCATGTAATTGTTTTGTAATACCTAAGTACTATTGTTTATGGTGACATTGTTTATTCTTTGTCATTGTATTTTAAGATTAAATTGAAATAAATATAAATCAAGAATGTGCAAATATTCACTTTAATTATACGGATACTGTGACGGAAATGCAAGAGCGGCACTTAAGGAATATCAGCCGAGATTTCCCGATCGAAGAATACCTAATAGGCTATATGAATTTATCATTTATATAATCTTAAAATTACTTCAAAGAATAAACAATGTCACCATAACAATGTGACAAAACAATTCCAGAGCCTACTAGATTGATTTATTGTTAAATTTAATATTACCCATAACAATTCTTAACTATTGAGTTTTGGACAAAGTGGTATAATGAAATTTCGACTTAAAATTGACCAAGGAATATGGTGTTAAGCTATATGTCCATAGAGTCCCGGGACACCCGACCACAACAGCACTTCCTCCATGGCGAAAACATTTTTAACGAAAACAATAGGTACACTGAAGTAGGGAAAAAACGATCTAATTATTAACTACATGTATCATGAATGACATAATTACCAGTCATTTTTCATCGAGCCTGATTTACACAATCGACAATCATCATAGACATTCTTATTCTCATATATCTATGTCGACAATAAATATTCGAACAAGAGATTGTTACATGTAAACAGTACTCACTTTTTCGACTTAGGTATTTGAACATTGACAATGGTACATCATTACGATTTACCTATTGTAGCGTGTAAACCAGCCTTAACCAGTTAACCTATGTAAATAGAAAAAACGTTTACTTACTAATCATCGCACAAAATTCGTCGTTGTCTCTCGGTCTATAACAGTTATGCATTTGTACGATACATTAAACACGAAAAATATTTCGTTGGCGAGTGTCGCAATCGCAATGGCGAGTCATCCGTTGGCGAGTAATGGCGGTGGCGAGGTGTCGCGATGATGAGTTGCGCAGTGGCGAGTTATCGCGTTGGCGAGTCAGTCAGTGGCAAGTGGTCCAGTGGCGAGTTGCCCGTGTCCCAAGAATAAATACTAGGCATTAGTAAACAAAATTAATCAACACTTGGTGGTGGCAGTAGGTAAGTATACCTATGCCATAAGAAATATTTGGATGCAAAAGGAGATTTTGGTGAATAGTCCTAGTCCAGGGGGGGATTGAGAACAACTGGTAATATGCGCACGGATTTAAACTGTATATTTACCCAGATACTGTACTGTATAATGTCACTATGGCTAACAATACTAATAATGATAACTTCTTTTTGTAGTCAATAGTCATGAACCAGATTTTGCATCCAAATTGTTCCAACTTTTACAAATTTGAAAAAGATAGAATTTCTGATGGCGAAACGTTTAATTAAATCAATGAACATAAAATATGGCAGCGAATGGAGTACAGATTATTGTAGAGTATTGCTTGCACCTTGCACCTCCATAAAAAATTGTCGGTATTGCACACTACAACAGAAAGTGGTCCCTCAAAACAAAATGCAGACAATTTGTGTTACAAAATGCATGATGCACCTATTACAGATATTCCATAAATAAGGAATGTGCAAGAAATTTGTATTTCTTAGCACACTTTTCATGTTAAACCGAATGAAACATATTGCAAAACATTACATGCATTCTACTTCTTCATTATCGTATGTTTGTCTCACATATTGCCCTTCCTGTTGGTCCCCAAATTCTGATTTAATAAGGAGACACACACGAAAATAATTGAGGAAATTTGAGTAGATATATCACCCCCACAATGCAAAAATGGTAGTACATATTACTATATCAAAGAAAATTTTTTTTAAAAAATTTGTTTATTATATTTTTTACAAAGTTTATATACCTACTACCGTTACTTGACTTTTGAGGAACGTCGAATCCACAAACTGCCTACAACATAATATAAAATAGTAAAAAAAATTTCGTTTGTCTTTTACAATTATCACTTGAGACCATCGAATTGAGGTAACATTTAGATGCGTGACCTACTACTTCCCGATTTATTTTCGAATAACTTCCGCACGAAAAACACTTGCAAAGCGGTGGTACTAATTATAACCACAATTTGTATAAAGGACCATCTTAAGACGTACGAGTTGTTATCGTTAATCAAACTGAAATCACGCGACTCTTTCGCTCTCGTGTGATGCTGGTACATTAGCATGTCGTTTATGTTGCGCTCGACAGTTTTAAGCCCCGTCTAAAAATAAAGAGAGTGAACTTCAAGGCCAAAGCATTAAAATCTTACCGTAAAATTATCCATATTCATATTAATTTGCTCGACCTCTTTGGCGTACTTGTCCCACAAATCATATCTTACAACCGTTAGGTAAAGATTGACTAGCTTACTTGCGAAGCGCGAGAATTGATTGTCAAGACAGACAGAATAGTAACCGCCTACGGAACTTTGCTCCTGGTACTCTCCATTCGGTTTCCATTGGTAAGGGTGTACAATTTGCCCCGAGGGGTGTCTTATCGCGAAACCTGCCATTCCATCGCCCCCTCGAATGACCTAAACAAACACTGTAACATAGACAGACTAGGGTTTTACTTACTTACTTGATAGCTGGCGTAAAAGGTGGCCCCCGGATTAACATATTGATAATAACAATCTTCTTTGCCGGGGTCTACGTGCACTTTGTAGTCCATGGCAACAGCTGGAAGGTCTTCGTACCATGGTAGGTTTGGGGCGGTGCCTCTGCTAGTAGGTGGCAGGATGCAGAAAAGTAGTAAATAAATGGGAACACTAACGAACGTGGCAAAGTATCTCGCAATCATACTTGTAAACAGGTTATCATCTTCGTGTATGATGGGTTGCAGCCATTACGAAGACAACGATCACCTGTTGATTGCGACAATACAACATACAGGGTGCGGCGGAAGAATGTTGATCGTCGATATTAAAAAATGAGTACAACATCCAAGCGATTCTGTAGGATCGTTGTAGTTCTCATTCTCACCTTCCTGATAACACAGATTTAATAGTATATTTAAATCTGTGCTGATAAGTACTTTATCCCTAGGCGGAATATAATGCGAGGCAAGTTTTTAAAGTGAATACCGTTTGTAAATTACACCGTCGCAGCGCTGCGATCGGCATTATGCCAACCGTTCAAAACCACATGCCACGAATAGTTACAAAATTAGGACTTAACTTCCCTCTCGTAGTTTTCCAACAAAAAAAAGAGAATAGACCTTTTTCTTATTGGCTAAAAAAATCAACTCATCGCGCTTCTGCACTGGAATACTATATTAAATAAATTTATATTAAATAATAAATAAAATCGAAGACTGCTTTCATCTACAGCCCTTTATAATAACAGCAAAAACAAATACTATTTTTGTTTCAAAAATCTGCGATAAAAAATTAGGTGAACACTTTTTTATTTAAACCAGCTTAACGCTTTCTTAACCAAATAATACAAAACGGTTAAATATGACCGTTACTGGATCGTGCAACTCGAACTCTCGAAGTGCGGACTACAGACTACTTTAGTACCTACGCCAAAATGGTCAAAAGGACGTTCGATACCAAATCCGAGTCTACGAGCAAAGTAATCTAATTTTGAAGTCAAAACGACGGATGTTTCGCGCACTTTTGAAATCTCTCGGTGACAATCGACTGGATAGCACGAATAGGTTCTACGCTGTGTATAGGTACTAATTTTACGTATTGGGAATTGAATAAAATGCAGGATTTGTGCGTAAACAAAGATAGGAGCAAATAAAATATATATCGCACACAGCAAGATGATAGAAAAACCTTTTATGGACAAAAAACCGGATATAACCCATACAAATACAGGTGGTGGACTTACAGTTTTTTAACCTCTCGACGCAAACGCTATCGTGACTTAACGCGCATTGTCCCACAGCTCTCTATCAACAACCCATTCTGAGACGCACAAATAAAACTCATTTGTTAGCCACTCAGATTGCTTGACAGGCATAAATCAAATACGCGTGGAGTGAAAATTCAGCCGATCTCACGCGTCGTAGCAAACTCGTTCACGGCGGATCAGGCTTTTGCAGAATCGTTACATGACTGCTATTCATCGCCGATTAGTAAAGTTTATGGGGAAAGCATTATGAGTGAAAGAATTGCCTGGAAATATATTCAGGTCAATCACGATTAGGAACTAAGTGGGCGCCCTTCAGCCGTTAACTCATTTCCCACAATCTCATTCACAAAGTGAACTGTAGAGTGTAAGTGAATAGACTATTCACTACTGTAAAGATTCGTTCAGTCTCAAAGAAATTGTCGAACGGTGCTAAAGTTCCCACAGAATTGTAATGATTTTAAGGGCCCCTGCTTTTGGGACTGCCGTTTTGACTTATCCTATACTTACCTACACTTTCCAAGTCTGGAGAAAATTACAACTTATAAGCAGACCCGTTTAACTTCCATGGCGAAATATTGAACGTTTAACACGAATTTCAAATCTCGGTAGCAATCGGTTCGGACTGGATAGCACGAATAGGCTCCTATGTTGTGTTCATTGAATGCTATACTTACTGGAAAGGGCGCAACGTTGTGCTACAAGCGAGGCATTTTTGTGGTTATGCAACCCGCAACGTAGTATTACTATCTTTGTTTAGCATACATAGAACCACCATATAGTCTATCTTTTTCTTGCGCCCCCTATCCGTGGTAGTATTGCTATCTTTGTTTAATATACATCATACATATGGAACCACCCACGATACACTTACATACGGTATGCTCATTATTTTTCTCAAACGCGTTTTCTACTGCGCATTACGTCACCTGCGAACATGTGGCGCCAAAATTCAAATGTTTACGCCAGGACCGATCTAGTAGTACACATGTCACGCGTGACAGTTTTGCAACTTATAAGTATCTTGTATCTACGAGGTTTAGCCGTTAATTTGTTGATAGCTAATTAATCATTAGTGAAATTTCCAAAATGCCAGGTTCTGTAGTGGCTCAATGGGGCAATTCTAATAGAAAAACAAAACGAACGGAAATAAAATACTTTCGATTTCGGAAAATTGAAAACTTTTCTCAAAAATGGATTGTTGCAAGTCGTCGTAACGACAAAATTAACTTGAAAAATGGTGTTACATTAATATTAAGTGGTGTATTTAAGTCTTTCCATTGCTGTTTAATTCTATAGCCTGTATTTGCTCTGAACATGTTGAAGCCAGCCGTTTTGAAGCACCGCTAAGGGAACGATTTCTTAATTAAACCTACTTTTAAAAACAGCGGACATTTGAAACCTGATGCTTTACCTACTTTAAAACTACCACGTAATAATGAAAATCAAAATAAAAGGGAAACGGAAGAGAAATTCCATCTTTTAATAAGGCATTAATTACATAATATTTAGTGAAAAAGCCGCACTTCATGTTTAGGGCCAATATTTTTGATTCGAGTTTATTTCATACGATCACCAAATCCCAGCTGGAAATACCCGCCGCGACGATCTCTACACAAGATCAGTGTGATTTGTCGATCTAAGAAGCGTAATTTTGCTCTGTATTCTGTGGTTTTGTTCGCACGTGACGTCACTCTAGATGCGCAAGAGCATACACCAGTAAGTGTATCGTGGAACCACCATAGTCTGTCATTTTTTCGCGCCCCTACCTCAATAACTATAGGTTTTGTAAGCCTTGCCACCGTTTCAGTTAGTATGGAGTTCAATGGTTGTGTAAGTGTTATATTATTTCGGTTCTTTGTAAGTATGTGTTGGGATGTGAGACACAATCAATGTACGTTTACCGCTCACAAAGTAGCGTTTATAAAGCGCTCCTGATTTTCCTGAATGGGACGCCGGTTTAGTTTGTTCTTTAGGCGGTAAAACCAACGACTTAGTGCGCAGCCAGAGAAAGCCGTGGCCGAAATACACTTTGTGCTGCTGTAACGCTTTCTTTGAAGTGGTAGTTGAGCGAATTGTTCGCCAATAACCATCAGATATTTTAGATAGCGTTCGCGAAGCTCTTCATCTGATGGTGAACGTACCCAATGTTTTGATATATGTTATGAACACTGTCCTGTAAATAGATCTCTTATTGTCTGTTGGGCAATGATAAATGATTGAATGAATGAATAAATAAATAAACAAAAAGTTTTGTTATAAATTTATTACGCACGAGGCTTGATTTCGCGGAACAAACCACACCGAAAAGCCAGGGAAAAAAGAACCAGCAGCAAAAAAAAAACACAATCAACAAAAATCAGATATTATCTACTCAAATGCAGTGAACAAATTAATAATAAAAACGAAACCTATCACCTATCATTAATTTAACACGAAAAAGAGCAAGTGAAAATGGCAGCAGTATTCATGTTAAAGTCGATTATCTGACTCCTCCAGACCACACATACTAAACAGAAGAAAAGTTCATTTGAAGACCCCCCTTGTTGTATTGCTTACGAACCGACTGGCAGCAGGCGCAAGGGTTTTATGGAATAGATACAAAATGGTAGCCGAAGTGGACGGGGCGAGCGCTGTCGTCGGAGTGAGCTCAAATGCGGGTCTTCTGGCTGGTGGAGCGTGGCGCGAGGCTCTCATCAGTTGTCCGTTTTGACCAATGACGGTTTCGCACGTTTTAGTTTGCTGCCGAATGTGCAAGCGGCGCGTCGCCACATTACTCCCACTCCATGTGTAGGTGTACGTTATTGAAACGTAGAGATTCCTGTCCTGGAAGTGATATGGTGTGGTGAATTAATAAGGAAATTCTCGCATTTTAAAAATTAGGTGCAGTTCGCAGTTGGACCTGCATGTTTTAAGATATTTTTTGCATATAAATAAAATAAATATACGTTTATGAGCTATAAAACTAGTTTTTTAGTACATAAAACCTTAGCTAAAAATTCAAATTTTTGAAGATATGAATTGCTTAACATTTTCTATCATTGCAATTTTTTTTGAGTAATATTGCGGAAAATGTTTCGAAACCCCATCCACAACTACCTATAGGAGAAAGGAAAAATCATATCAATTTACCATTAGTACATATATACTCACTTTTCCTATCAACAATAACGCCCAAACATTGGATGAAGGATGTGAGTTTATGGTATATCGTAAGTAGTTTAAGGAGCTTTTGAGTCTTGATTGTCTTTCACTTCCATGTGACATTAATGCCGAATCACTTTCTCCGAGATAACTTCAAACTGGTGTACTTAAGATTCCAAGGATTTCTCTAATTAAACGCCGGTAACGACATTAGTTTTATTCGATGAATATTAATTTGAACTATAAAATTAACATAAATCTAAATAGCCAGTTCCAGTAGGTAAATATATTGATCGCGCATACGATCTCATATCGACCGATCTTCCACATCGTACCTTTCAATGAACGGATTAATCAATCCCGCCACTGGCTCGGGATTATTTAGATGAACGTGATGGGTGCCTTCGATCGTGTGAATTTCGAATTTCGGATTAATCTTCTTGAGCACGTCGAAAAATTCGGGAGTTTGGGTTAGAAGTGCGAATTTCTCGGTTACGACGGTTCCCAGGCAAAGGAGCGTGGGGAAGGTGAACTTGTCGGTCATCTTCATTACGTCCCCTGTTTTGTATTCGAGAAATGGTAGGAGTTTTAATCGTAAGTCGCGCGTGAAGTAGAATTCGTTGGGTTTAGTTTTGGATTTCGCGATCGTCCGTTCCAAGACGTACTTGCAGGTTTCCAAGGAGATGGAATTGTCGGAGTCTGCGTGGAGCCGCTTTTCTAATTCGTTGTAGAGGTAACTCGGTCCTTCCTGATCCAAGCTTAATAGGTGATCGTACTTGATGAACCGATCCATGTTGACTCCCAATTCTGTAATCTTCAGGTCATCGGTGAGCGGTCTTAGGCCCTCGATTGCGATTAAGAAGTCAACAGTTTTGGGATATAAGGTGGCGTAATTGTAGGCGATGGAGCCGCTGATGGAGTGTGCCAACAGTGATACTTTCGGCCAGTTGAAGTATTGCACAACTCGGCGCAAAAACACGATATAGTCCGACCAGTAGTAGGAGACCCCGAGCGGGAGTTTTGATGACAACCCGTGGCCGGGAAAGTCGATCGCCAGGTAACCCAACTCGGGTTTAAGGAGCGGGATCAGTCTATCGAAGCTTCCGCAGTTGTCCTGATTGTAAAGCGGTAAGAAACAATTGTAAAATTGTTTAACTCACCTGCCACCCGTGGAGAACCAAAATTGGTCTCTTATCTTGAGGTCCCCACCATTTTCCCGCGATATGGCCCCAAGGGACAGGAATTTTGATTTCTTCCCACATTTGCTTCCATTTTGAATGTCCTCTTATGCCTCTCAATAACATTTTGTACACTGGAACGGGTGACAAACCCGTTTTAATACCGCAACCAACTTATCGCTTAAGTAGACAGTCACCTACTAAACAGAATTTCATCGTTCGAGTTTATATTTTTCCGTAAAGGTATACACACTTAATGAGTTCACCTTGAAGTCTAGTTTATCATAATGTGTGACCTTTCTAATGAAAAAATGTAACTGCACTGTGGTGGAAAAACAATATGTTTACCGTGTAGGTACTATGCCAATTTTATGACCCTCAAAAACCTCAACTGCAATATAGTAGTTGTCAAATAGTATAGCACGCTGGTGGTTTCGTTTTAGCACAGTAGGGAAGGGTCTGACGCTAATAGTGGATTTTCAATTTTCCAAACAAATTTGAAAACATAAAAATTAGAACAGGACTTGCCACTACACAATCCTAAAAAAGCTTTCAACCCCATGCAACGATACAGTCAAGTGTGTGCTATTTATAATATCATAATCACTTCTGCTCGCGGGAGTATTAAAATAATGTAATGAGTAAATTTTTAGCGCATTTTTAAGAAGTAACAAAAATGTGCTATTGTTTGCGTTTTGCCGTCCGTTCGGACCTATTTTTATAAAATTATTCAATAGAAGCACGGATTATGATCAAGGCTACCGAATGCAGCTATAGGAATTACAGGAAGTCTTCTCCTCAACTTCAGTTTCAGGTTTTTACTAGACCCCGACACAAGTGCATATATCCCAGACCCTATTTTATTTTAACGAAATATAATTTCTGGTTCCCTAATAAGGTCGGCAAGGATTTACTTGGCGACGGCCCTTAAAGCAAACTTCCCCACGGTTCAAGCGACCTCCTCAAAGTCAGTTGAATCGGACGACAAGCACGGAGATGAAGATACTTGGGTTGGGTTCAAGTCCGATCTATATCGACGGAAGGCAAGAACGCAAGGTACCAGTGCTGTATCAGGTAGTCTAAAGCCCGCAGGGTTTTAACCATACAGGGATTAACACCAGTAACACAGGCGGAGTAAGACGCCAAAAATGAAACTAGCTATTAAATTAGCAGGTCTAATAATGAAATAAAAAGGAAAGCACTCTGTGAATGAAGACAAAACGAAAATAAATTAAAAGGCTAGGTTTCTAGTCTGAGATTAATAATACTTGGGTATGGAACCTGGTTCTGGTTTCTTGTCGGTAAAAGGTGCAGGAATCAAGTTCCTCGAAGCTTTATCACTTAACGGAGGAATTTTACAACACAATACAGGATGTTTACAAATAAAATTTTGACGTTACCATTTGTATATTGTCATAAGTATAGCTTTCGCTGTAATAAGCCCCCCCCCCCCCTCCCCTTTCCCATGAATTATTTCCCGAGATACAGTAAAACGTATATCACTTTTACATGCGACAACCAAACAATTTTTTAAGAATGGTACAGTATCTATCAATAAATTTGGTCCCTTCCGGAGTTTCCTGATCTCAATTTTTTTAAATGACTCCTCCCTTCGGATTAAAAAGTAGAATTGCCCTTGTCAGTTTTCTTTTGAGAAACGTTTTGGGTTGTAGTACGAATGTGTAAAACTGCATAGGTTGCGCTTTATACGAATAGTAGGTGCGGGTCTGCAACAGAAATAGCAGTGAGCTGTCTAGATTGTTTGCCAAAATGCCGTGTTAAGGTTGTGACGATCAAGTCCAATTCACATTATTAATCGCTCAGGTGGACTCGTGGAAAAATTTGTGTACGTGAATGGTATTATTTCGGTGCACATTGATTCTTCGCAGCATTTTTCGTATCTGGAAATATTTCCTACAAAAACTTCAATTGCGGTAAACGTAAATTAAATTTTTTGGTGGGCCGGTTTTCGGCACAGACAATTGCGGTATTAAAAGCATAAAATAACCATGTAAAAAATCATATTTATGAAAATCATTAACATCGCAAGTGCGAACTTGTTTATTATTATCTTTGACTGCTGAGATTACTGAAGCGTGAGTTAAACTGAACATTCAATTATTAACTCACGTTGGGCCTTCTTCACTTTTCAAAGAAACTGCACATACCAAGGCACGCTGACCTTACCCTAGGGGAATTGTTCACTACGCAGAAATCTATGGATCTCGACATTTCCAAATAATGGACTATAAAAGGAGGGTAATTTTTTAAAAATTTGTTAACATTAAAAAAGTCTAAAATTATTAGGGTAATGTGCAAATGGTTCTAGTTATACACGCAGCTGTCACGGAGAAAGAACGTTTACAGGTAGAATATGCACCCGTCATTTTTCAAATATTTTAAGCGCGGTAGTTCGAAAATTCCAGTGGCGTGGTAGGGCCACAAAAATTTAATAAATTTAGCTCAGGGCTATTAAAAGCAAAGAAACTAATTCGAAAGTGCACTCTTCGCCTTTTGTTCGCAAGCGACTTAACGAATTTTTTTTGTTTATTATATATTTACGCAATATATATAAACAGGCTACAAAAACAAATGCAATTTAAATTAACAAAAAATAGTCAACGTCAACTTAAAACATCTACAAGATTTTCCTTCTTCAACTTTACTTCCTTTTTTATGCCACCTTTGCTTCGATCGTGAATATTATACTTTTTAATGAAGCCAGAAATTAATCCAGAAACGCGTTCGGGATTATTAAGGTGTACGTGATGAGTTCCATCGACCGCGTGCATCTCCATATTATGGTTACATTTCTTAAGTACATCAATAACCTCTAATGTTTGCTCCTTCTTTTCCACGTACGATGTACGGGTGCACTTAAACATGATAAGTGGGCAGGTACAGTTAGATGCATCGGCTACAACATCTTTTTGGGCCATGTCCAGCAAAGGGCCTACTTTTAATCGCAGATCACGGGTAAAGTGGTACTTGTTTGGTTCACGTGTAGATGGCGCCACGTTTCTTTCCAAAATATACCTACACTTGTCCACGTTTATCGACTTTTTGGAGGCCTCGTGAAGTATCTTTTCCATTTCGTCGAATGTGTAGCAGGGAGGCTCCTTATTTTGCACCATGATCTCGTCGTACCGTAAAAAATTTTCCGCATTTTGTATCATACGCTGCAGCTTATTCTGCTCGAAAACTAAGGGCTTCAGACCCTCTATGCAGATTAGAAAGTCTACGGTATCACAATACATAGTCGAGTAGACGTAGCAAAGAATGGCGCCGAGAGAGTGTCCTAAAAGGGAGACCTTTTCCCACTCGAAGTACTTGACGATGCGGCGTAAGGTGATGACGCTGTCGATGGAATGGTAAAATATGCCCGGCGGGAGCGGCGTCGATAGTCCGTGGCCGGGGAAATCGACGGCCAAAACGCTCACTTCCGGCGGCAGTTGCGGAATCAGCAGGTCGAATGATCCGCTGTTATCCTGAAAAAAACAGTGATATTTAACATTTCAGAAAAATCCCACAAGAAATATCCAGATTTCAAGAAAATCGTTCCACAAATAATTGCGTTTTTTGCAATGCGCCTTTAAAGCATCTGGCAAATTTTACATACGCTCCACAAATAAAAAAATGGATTCTGCGCATGCGCGAGCTCAAATTTTGTTATACGCCTTCTACCTTCTTTTATTAGAAAAATCTGCTCTAACATTTTTAGAAAAAACACTGTAAATATATCAAAAGAAAGGACCTGACAAATGAATATTAACATTTATTAATACATTATGCACTATAATAGTACATTATATATACCAAGGTAGAGAAGTGTATGATTATTGCCCGAGCACCAAGATTACATCCCGAGGCGCTTGCGCCTAGGAGTGTAAGGTACGAAGGCAATAATAGACGCCGTGGTATATACGGGGCGATCAAAAATGAGTTGTTGTCGAGTCGCCTTTGGAAGTTCATATTAAATATGATTTTCCATGTAAACAAAAATTCCAAAGGTAACTCGACAGCAACTCATTTTTGATCGCACAGTATATGTATACTATTTTTTTCACTATAGCGCGTTCGCTCCTCCTGATGCAGTATGGGGTCTTATGGACTAATTGCCTCTCTTACTAGTTTGCGTCATTCTTCGATAATACTATCCTTGTTTTGTTTCTGACCGCATTGATGTCAAATTGACATATGATTAAATTGAAGTATTAAAAAAAAGATAATCTCCTTGTGCTGTCATTGTCACGTTTGGCAAGCATGTACTGTATGTCCATACACAATACTATTGACTATATGATTAAATTAACATTTTTTATGTAACTGCGGCCGGATCTTAGTGTTTTCCAAAGTTTTTAAAGAACTGCATGTCTCGGGGCATTTACTCCTAGTTGTAATCAACAGTGCCTGCAGCTACTTTTTCCATACGATCGAATGAATTCATACTGTATATTTATTACCATTCTGTGGTAATTTCCACCAAGCAAACAAGTATTGCTAAGTTCACGTTTATTGGTCATGGACCACAGTCAGTGCGGCTTATCATGTAGTGGCGTCATCGAGTAACGCACTTTCAGACGAGGCTTTCCAAGCGCCCAAACAACCTTTGGAAGTTAGGGTAAAGGCACAGGTACACGTAAGCGTAAGGCTAATCCTTTAAGGAATTCTATTACACTACCTGCCAGCCGTGCACAGCCAAAATAGGCCTTTGATTTTGAGGACCCCACCATTTACCGGCGATGTGACCCCAAGGAACCGGAATCTTGATTTCCTCGTAGGTGCGAATGCGATTACCCAGGAAACGTTTCCCGGATCGATTTAAACCATTCACTGCACTATACACATTTCTCAATTGTTTAATCATTTCTCTTATTTCAATTTTTTCACCACTGCCGAGTTGTTACGGATATTCTTACTTTGGACGCGTTTAAAAGTTATTTATACATTTTGATGGGTTATATGCGGATTTAATTAACGGACTGAACGTCGAAACGTGACGCACCTACTTAAATATGATTAGATTTATATGAACGGCTTCCTTGCGCAAATTACAACGCGAAAAAAACAAATGCCTAACCCTGGCCAATCGTGTGGAAGGGGATGTGAATAAACCATGGTATAGAGGTTAACTTTTATCTCACACAGATATTATATACAAAAGTGCTGAATTTGTAAAAATCTAAAATACGTAGTGTCATTTCAAATGAGGTCAATGTCACGTGTAACAGATGTGATGTACAGGATGTTTACGTTAATTGTATCATCACAATTTCGAATTACAGGGTTTGTAGTTGTCTGCCACAAAAATAAGATCCCCCTTGCGATCTCGAAATATTAAGCTTCTGACTATACAGTCATTGTGTGCTACTGTTTTTTTGTTAGTAGGGTCCCACCCTTGAAACGGAGACCTGGCCCCTCGTTCGGGACATGCCAGCGTAAAGATTAGAGATCAGCAGTATTCATGTCGAAACACGTTACTTTACTTACGCAAATGTGATCAGATTGGTCCCAACACCCTCCTCAAGCTCATCACTATTGAATGCTCAAATGGATATTGATATATAATTAAGATAGTTATGTATGTACTTATAACATAAATATTTTGTTGACAATAAATTATGTTTATTGTTCAAATAATCAATATCTTACCCAAACCACTAAATGTAATTAACAATTAGAAAAATTAAGGGGATTAGAACTACCTATACTTGATCCAAGAGGAGTTTAAGTTAACCGATCTTCATAGTTACCTATAATTTTTTTTGTTTAAATAAAGTCATTCCATATAACTTGTAACTAACAACACGCAACCCTGGGAAAACATTTTTTAATGTAACAACAAATAAAATATCAACGTCTTTGACATTCTAACAGTTATCATCACGGTAATACTTACTAAGAAATTCATTAACTAAAGGATAAAGTTGTTCAGGCGTATTTAAATGCAGGTGATGTGTTCCTTCCAGATGGTATTCATGCACATGGTCATTATTTTGCCTAATTGTATTTAACACGTTCTGCATGACAGGAAATGAACCGGTCTTTCGCAAGTAGCTACTTTTCCCTAAACTAAAAAACAAGGGGCACTTGACTCTTTTGGCAGATTCCACTATCGTCTCTTCGGTCCATCTCATCAGCGTTGGCACTTTTAGCCTTAAATCCCTCGTAAATTGATACATTCCCGGTTTTGAATCGACAGATTTAATGTTTCTATGGAGGATGTATTTAGCGCAATCCGCGTGAATGGATTTCAGAGAACCAGTATGTTGAAGCTCTATAAGTTCGGCGTAGGTGTAAGATGGAGGCAGAGATTTGGTGGTCATTAAATTGTCGTATCGTAAGAAGTTGTCGATTGTTCTACTCATTTTTTTTGCGAGTGTATCTTGTTTGAATACGTAAAATAGTCCGTCGAAGAATATTAGAAAATCGACTTTGTCTGGGTAGAACATGGTGTAAGTAAAGCTGTACATCGCTCCGACGGAGTGTGCCATGAATGACACCTTTTCCCACTTAAAGTAATCGATCACTCTCTTGAATAGAAACATCGCGTCGATGATGTGATAGACAAAACCATTAGGAAGGTGCGACGATAGACCATGTCCTGGGTAATCGACCGCTAAGATTCCAATGTTTGCGGGCAGATGTGGCACCAACCGATCAAACGTTCCCGAGTTGTCCTAAGATCCATACCTAGTGGATAATGGATATGTAGCAAAACAAAGTGATACATACCAACCAGCCGTGGAAAGCAAGAATTGGGCGTGAATTTTGGGGACCCCACCATTTTGCAGCTAAGTGACCCCAAGGGACTGGGATTTTAATTTCTTCAAAAGTACGTTCTGTGCTACATAATCTTCTACATCTATAATTATTAAGTACCTTCCTAAGCAACATAACCTTGTTCTTTTGTGGTTAGATTTGGATCACAGCCTTTGTGATTTGGATGAACGTACTCGTATGACTTATGATTTTATTTTGAACGTCGCGTCGGAGATAAACTTCTGACGTCACTGATACTGTTGGTACCCAAGGTTGTTTTAGAAAGGTTGTCTGGTAACTCTAAACCAATAGAATGCTTGCATTTTGAAGGCGGGAAAACGTCATCCAGAATTCACATTTAAAATTGCTCATAGGTTACAATGCTAATAAAAGGGGTAAAAAATTTAGTTTTTGCAGTATATTTTTGGATTTATATGGGTATATGTATATGATGGTGGATCTTATATTGGAAATCTTGGAAGTTTATCGACTTCCACCTTTGAAAGCAATCAAAGTATTGCAAAAATGAGTGTGGTGCGTAGGTAAGCTGTTTTACATTGCACGAGGACTTGTGAAAATGTAATCAAATTAATTTTAGAGGTGGAAATGGATAAACTTCCGCGTTCTACAAAATAGGAACCACCCCTATGTACCAATACCTAGCCTTTGGGAATTAAAACTCTAAATATTCTTCAGCAGATGACGCCAAATAAAATGCTGTTGCGTTTTATGGAAAATGTATATTTATAGTATGTACAAAATGATAACCGAGGGGCACACGGCGAGCTCTGTCGTTGGGGTGAGCCCAGATGCCTAGGTCTTCTGACTGATGGAGTGTAGCGCGAGGTCGAGCTGGCAAGGCGATCTGGTTCTGCAGGTGGAGAGCTTTTTGTTTCTTGAAGTGCAGTCGCAGCAGAAATTGCGTTGCACTTTGCCGAGTTCGTGGCTCTGCTTTTAAACGTTTGCGGCCAGGGACGCTACGCTTTCATCGGTTGGTCGTTTTGACCAATGAGGGCGCCGCACGTTTTAGTTTGCTGCCGGATGTGAAACATTTTCTTACCCATTCTTTAAGAACGGTAGGGTCCTTGGGAAACGTAAAAACCAAGATTTTATTTACACCAGGATGAGGAATTTTAGTGTTACCGCCTCTCATCTAAAAAAATACTTAATTATAACATACAAAAGTGCATATAATTGATGAACTAACCTTTCAATCACGGCTATGAAAACCCACAAAATTCACAAACTAAATGTCTTTATATTGCACCAAACAGGTATCTACAGCTAAAATATATGTCCTTATGCACTTCAAAATTCAACAAATTTTAAACAAATAAACTATAACTCAAAAAAAATAAGCACCCGCGCGACTACAAACAACGTTGAACGTCAATGTCAGAATTCTCGATGACGTATACATTCCGTCCCTCCCGCTTCCGCCCACATAGTTACCAGGTAACCTTTGAAATAAAATAACCATGGTTGGTACCAACTGCGTGCTTCCACAATATACGTCTATCTTTATAATATTTTATATTGTAAGTATTGTATATATTATATACTACCTTTCATGGTATTGTAACGGAAACGCTCCAGACATGACGTCGCCTTTGGCGCTTTGGAATTTTCTACGCGCGCGATAGTGGGATATGTATAGGAATATTCCAGACTTATCCGGTAAATTACGCGAGTGTTCTTGACTTACATTGCTTGCGTGTATAAATGGTTGCAGACCGAACATCGCAAGCAGTCTACTACCGAACGAGATCGAGTATAGATGAAACATAGAGCGCGGAAATATAAATTGCGAAGTGTGTGATATAAATAGTCGATACAAATTGTACAGTTTTTATAGTGTTTTAGTTTTGTTTAATAAATATTGATATAAATCGAACCCGAATTTATAAATCACGTTACAGTATTTATGGTATATGGTGGCTTTATTCTCCGTTTTGTAGAAAAGCCCCGCTTACTTAAGATACCTAGCGTAAATATTATAGCCGGCTTTGATAGCGATTGGTATGGACCGAGATAAGAATAATCCCGTTTAACTAAACCCGATGGCAATTGGACTACATCACGTTTTATATATACCAAAGGTATCTGATAAAACGTAAAAATTGTGTTTCAAGGATTTTTGTATCATGGAAGAAATAAAATAATTTTAGTAGCGTTAGCTATCGTTGTCAAACTCTAGATTATCTTCTACTTGGTCTAAAATAAACACAGTGACCTGTTGCAAACGGAATCTTCTATACAATGATAAATCATCCAAGGGTTCAAATGGATTTTGGCGTTCGTAGACTCTTCTAGGGAAACCAAATTCGATTATATTTAACAAATCACCATCGTCATCAAGAAATATTCCATCTTCCAATTCCATGATTGAATTTTTTTTTGCCTTTATTTTTGAGTGAGCGGGGTTTCAGCCAAGGCTGCTCTACCAACCCAACCCACTATACATTTACAAATATCCATGCCCGAACCCGGATTCGAACCAAGGACCCTAGCACCACAGTCCAGCTTTTAACTGAACTGCGCCACACGAGCCGCTATACTTTTTGTTTACACAAATCAAATTCGGAGGTTAGAAATACACCATCAATGAATACGCAAGCGCTAAGTCTAAGCCGTCTTTTAAGCCCCCAACATCGGTTTAGGTGCTCAAATTCTACGGTGCATACGAAAATAGTTATTTATTATATAAGACGATAAATGAATGTTTTAACCATTGAGAGAATTAACTTTCACGAATAAGAATGGCAGATGCCATTAGAATGCACAATCACCTGTTTCATTTTATCTATACCCTCGCGGTTAAAGTGATAACTTTATCTACCCTCGGGCATAGAGTAAATGCAATCCTCTATGCCTATGGTTAAAGAGCGGCTTATAGCCTACTATGGGGCCTACTCATTCCAACCTATTGAAATGGCAATTTAAGATATGCTATTAAATAAAGGGAATTTAGGTCGGTTTTATACTTTTGAGCCGACTTAAGATCCTACGGAGAATACTCGAGCATTAAGGCCGTGATGCATTTTTAATTGCAATGCATTGCAACATTGTACGTGCAAGTTCTTGCTGGAAGGTATTCTGCAGTTTACTTGTTTAGAACTTGTATGCTACGTACTTTTCTTGCAATTTAAATGGCCGTTTGCAACAACAAATTTAAGCGGAGCTTAGCTTAAGCGGGGCTTAAAATCCATGGCAACAATTATTGCAACAATGGTTGCCATGGATTTTGAGCAGTGTTGTGACATATCTAGATACTTGTAACACTTTTGAAGTATATACATTATTAAATTATATTATACATATCTAGTCTAAGCTCCCACATAAGGCAACCTTCGCGTTCACCACGAGCATCTGGGTATCGATTCCCGAAGTTGGTCGATATGCTCCGTGATGTGCATGTGATGTGACCGGCTGCCATGACGTCATGATCGTATACGATAGGGATAAGTTCAAGTTTAGCTGCATTCCCGAATCGCGAACAAACTGTATGCGCTAACCAATCACAGACAAGAATTGAACTGTCATTTGTCAGTTTTGTATTTTGTTTCGTTTTTGCATTAAGGATAGTGTTATTAATAACCAGAAAATCCTCGAACAAGTCCATGTTTTATTTCACAGAAAATATGTGAATTTATAGGTTAGGGCACTGAATAACCTCTATAGCAAAACAGCTGCAAGATCCGTCCTGTAGCTGCTAACTGCGCATGACTTTCACGCAACGAGTGGTCTAGACCAGTCGTTGCGTTCGATCAACTTTTCGCTCGATGTGGTAGGTTCGAGAATGCAGTGACATTCACGTTCACATCAAGGTCAGTCGATGTGAACAAAGCACATCTTCGGGAATCGACGCCCTGTTACTATCACACGGAACAGTGCGGTTGTCGCAATTGTAAGTAGCGAGCGAGAGAGAAATATGTGTATTGTTCCGGGTGATAGAGAAGGAAGCAGCGTAACATGCGCTGTCTCCATGTAACATGGTGGTTATGACCTTTTTACACTGTTTTTTTAACTCAAATCCAACGGTCTTCTAGACTTCTTTTTTTTCACTATATACAGGGTCCGGCAATGAAACGGGAAGATTTGGGGTGGGGCTTGCAGCGGGCGGTGAAGTGGTAGGGAGGACAGTCACAGACCTGTCGGGACCCGAGTGGCTTGCCATTTAGTCTACAATGGAGCGTTGGACGGGTGAGCATCGCGGTTACGCAATTAAGGCTTATTACCAAAATGGCGAGAGTTTAATGCAAACGCGTCGAGATGTTAGACGGCATTTTAACATACCGCGTAACCAACCGGTTCCGTCAGACCATGCGATTCGAATGTGGCTAAACAACCTCGAGCAAACTGGATCGACGTCTAGAGAAAGAGGTGGTAGTGCCAGAAGGATTCGAATCCCTGAAAATATTGAACGTGTTCGACTCCATGAATGCATACGTGTCAACGGAGGCCATTTGACAGATGTAATTTTCAAAAAATAATGTTTTTTAACATTGTATATCAAATGGCTACTCTTTTATTTCCCAGTATGGTATTACTAATTACCAAAAAAATATTTTTTCGATAATAAAATTATTTACGAAATCTTCCCGTTTCATTTTTTTTTGTTACATCTAGGTAGATACATATTTGTTTCAGTGGATCGAGATACAGATACTTATATATTTTGTATGTTAGATAAAATATACCCATAGTGGAAAAAAAAGTCTAGCGAAGGCCCTGGAATTGAGTTTTAAAAACATGTAGAGTTTGAGGTTGAGTAAAAAAAAGGTAATATCTAGTTTGAAACTCAAATTCAAATGAGCGTTCGAATATTGCTACTGTTCACCTATTTCACCGAGACCCACTCAGGTATAATAAATCCCATTTGTAAATACAAAAATATCGTAGTTATTGCGTCGGATAAATAGGAACGAAGAGAAATGCAAGTGGATAAATCGGGTAAATTATGTTACCATAACAACACTAGTTTTTAATCTCACTTGAGCCGGCTGGCTAGCTGGCTGGCAGCAAATGCGGGTATGTAGAAAAACGCTTGAAGGAAGACAAGGAGTGCTACCGGCGTCGTGTAATTAACAAGTTACTACATGAGGCGGTTGGCGACATCTGGGAGCCATCCCGAAGCGTGTTGGACTAATGTGGTGATTTTTCCTTCTTCTTCTATAGTTTTGGTCCGATTGTGCGCACCTAAAAAAGTGCTCGAATCGCGGTCTCTCATTCGCGTGTCGCCAATAGAAGCTGGAGCAATGAGAAGTGCCCCTAAAATTGAGTACTATTTTGTGGAGGGTTTTTAGCAAAATCCACCAAAATACGAATTGCGGGTGAACGGGACGTCAGAGGTAGGTACGGACAAAGGGAATGGGGTAGCCTTCAACAAAATCTTATTGATGGACACGAGGACTTTGATAATTTTTTATTTGCACCGTCACCTTCAAATATTAATTAAAGTAATTCCTTGCAAGTGGCGGCGTAGTCCGGCTCTATATCTGTTTTTTGTTTTCATTTGAGTGATGCTGCCAGCCGCAAAGCGCACATGGATCCTACCGGCCCACGGCCCCATCCACCCCTGCCTATACTTGATCGAAGAGGATTATTGAAGTAAACCGAGCGTCATAGTTAATTTATATTTTTTTTTTGTTTCCAAAATATAATTTCTAACTAATAACACATAACATTTTTATTGTAACAACAGATAAAAAATCAGTTACATTCTAACAGTTATCATCACGGTGATACTTATTAAGAAATTCATTAACTAAAGGATAAAGTTGTTCAGGCGTATTTAAATGCAGGTGATGTGTTCCTTCCAGATGGTATTCATGCACATGGTCATTATTTTGCCTAATTGTATTTAACACGTTCTGCATGACAGGAAATGAACCGGTCTTTCGCAAGTAGCTACTTTTCCCTAAACTAAAAAACAAGGGGCACTTGACTCTTTTGGCAGATTCCACTATCGTCTCTTCCGTCCATCTCATCAGCGTTGGCACTTTTAACCTTAAATCCCTCGTAAATTGATACATTCCCGGTTTTGTATCGACAGATTTAATGTTTCTATTGAGGATATATTTAGCGCAATCGACATGAACGGACTTCATGGAACCAGTATGTTGAAGCTCTACAAGTTCGGCGTATGTGTAAGATGGAGGCAGAGATTTGGTGGTGATCAAATTGTCGTATCGTAAAAAGTTGTCGATTGTTTTACTCATTTTTTTCACAAGTGTATGGTTTTTGAATATATAAAATATTCCGTCGAAGAATATTAGCAAGTCAACTTTGTCTGGATATAACATCGTGTAGGTTAAGCTGTGCATCGCTCCGATGGAGTGTGCCATGAATGATACCTTTGGCCACTTGAAGTAATCGATCACTTTCTTGTACAGCAATATCGCATCGATGCTGTGGTAAAAAAGCCCATTGGGGAGGTGCGACGATAGACCATGCCCTGGATAATCGACTGCTAAAATTCCAATGTTTGCAGGCAGATGTGGCACCAACCGATCAAACGTTCCCGAGTTGTCCTAAGATTCATAGTTGATATTTTGCAAAACAAAGTGATGTACATACCAACCAGCCATGGAAAGCAAGAATTGGGCGAAAATTTTGGGGACCCCACCATTTTGCAGCTAAGTGACCCCAAGGGACTGGGATTTTGATTTCTTCAAAAGTACGTTCTGTGCTACATAATCTTTTACAGTTATCATTTTTAAATACATTCCTCAGCAACTGCAACATAACCTTAATAACCTTGTTCTTTTGTGGGTAGATTTGGATGTATCCATATACAAGGTGCCTCACTGAAAACAGTCAATCCAATGAGTGGGGAGAAATACTGACATCCTCTCTTCTGTTTTGTTATTATTGTGTATTGTTGACGTCATCAAATCAATGACGTGCAACGCTTTTTATAACGAGAACCCTATAAATCAAGTCAACAAACTGACCATCGCGAAGAACTGAAGAAGGTAATATGATATGATTTTTTTGTCGCACCTTGTATATGCATGCCAGTATATAACCTAACCACAAATCACTTGTGTATATAACATAACCTTAAATTCAATTTTTGAACGACAACTTATTTTCAATTTAAAATGATACACGATAATGATTTTCTACCGTGGTAAGTTTATTATCAACAATACTAATGCGTTATACTAATAAGTTTCAAGGAAGGAGCTGTCATGCCAGAACATGGTCAAGGAAGTCTCAGCTCAAACCGACTTCATTCCGACCGCCCATGTACCGCTCTCGAACGTAAGTTCAGTGCCACAAAGAACCAGCTTAATAAACAAAGTGAGAGAGTCGAAGAAGTTCTTTCCTGGTGTCTTATTTTACCCAAGAGATATCCCAACTTCGCTAACTGCTCTTGAGCACGCGAGATGCTTAAACGCGTTGAAATTGTACCAGTCAGGTGTACCGCTCAATACCCTAAACAAAGCGCAACAGGAGGACGTAGAAATCTATAAGGTGTGTTGCCTAGATCTTACTGAAAATTGTAACTGTCGTTTCAGACTCTCCAGTCGAAAATACAGGAGGAGCATGCTAAATTTTTAGATTACGTTAGGAAGGATTGGCAAAATTCGGAGTGGCGATTGGAGGATATTAAAATAGTCTTTTATAATTACGCCCATAGCCTATGGAAATTGAAGTTGCGAAAAGCCCTTACGTATTCTCGATTTTATAAGTTACATAAAGATGTGCGATTGGTTCAAGATGATGCTGATCATTTAATAACTAAGGTGGTCATTGAAAAAAATGTGCTCAGTTTTGTAAGTACCTTTATAGCAGTTGATTTGGAGTTTGTGTATCTAAACTAACTTAATGTTTAATTGTAGGGAGCGCCAACTACTTTTGCATGTCCTACTCTTGTTTCTAAATGTGTTCTCAAAATTACCCATTTGCCTACATTTGAAGCAAAGTACACGTACAACTCCAAACTGCCAGGTAATAATATTAAATCCTCAACTCATTGCGTCATCATTTGCATGTTTTAGTGAGTCAAGACGCTAACGTTATTGGCATTTTGAAAACACACGATGTTGATGTTGTGATCTCCATGAGTGGCATTAAGCGGCTCATGGACGATTCGGACCATAACAAAGTTTGGAGTATACCGTTTGTTGTAAAAGAAACCAACAACGGTCGCACCTCCAAAAATGTTGTTTACATCGACAAACCTTTACCTTTGCAATGTCCCACCAAACCCGATTTCGTAGAGCAGTGCCACAAACGGTTACTAAGAACGAATTTTTGTGTTGAAACTGCGGAAGTGTACGTACTATAACGTACAGTCACTTTATAAGGACATTGGCGACAACTTATCATAATCCGCCATATTGGAGCTAAAAAATTGATTGTAGGACAGAAATGATCGTTTAAAGCTTTGCAGAACAACCTATGGGAAAACCAGCCTCCCAAATTCAAAAAGGTATATGGAAAACGGTATAATAAGTATAATAAATATGGTGCAATATCCAAAATGTACATATAAAGGTAACTGTTAATCATTTGTGTTTGACATTTCAGTGTCTTCTGTCACTTCTTGTCCCTTGTCGCGTGTTTCTCCTTTTCGGGATAATTATTACTTTAGTCCCTTAAACAGAAGATTAAACACGTTTATTTAGTCCAGGGAGTACAAGAGATCAATATTACTTTTGCTTCAGCAATCATATTCAAGCGTATTTATGATCACAATTGCGTTATCCATAACCATAATTTAATTTGCTGCTAATTTCGGATAAGCTGCTTCTCTAACCAGTTTTCTATCTAAACTCATTAGGAATTTAGGGCTTCTGAAAAAATGTTTACATCAATTACCAGTCGTAAGGTTAGGCACAGTTTTACATCCAAAAACACTTTAAGCGAATTACATACCTTATAATCGTAAATCCAAGGTATATGCGTCTCTAAAAATCGAGTTTATATAAAACTGGAGACGGAAGCCGTAAAATAAAGCAAATACAAGAAGCAAAGTGTAAACTAGTAACGTGAAACCGTGACAATCACAGGGGACACTGTCAAAACAGTATAATTAATAATTATAGCACAGAGTGTACCGCGTCGTTTTGGAGGATTTCTATTGACCAGTTTGGAATTTAGCTCCAATATGGTGACCGGAACCAACGACCAATCAAAACGAGATACCCTGTTGTCGCCACTGTCTATAAAGTCACTGTACTATAAAGCATGTCGCTTGCTTCGTTTATCTCAAAATGTTGTAGTGTAAATAATTTGGAGGAGAAAATACCAAACTTCTACCACTCCAATATGTCTCCAAGTGACACAAAGAATGTCTATGGCCCCTGTGCGTGCAATTACAGCATCTGGAATATACACAGAAATAGTGAGGGAAATGTTTTGTTAAAAACCAGAACCGAGGAAAAGAATATCAAATTTCTTTTGCGTCAAAAAATTGACACGTACGAGGTGAGCCCAAAAACTTCTTCAATTCGCACCGTCCCTTTTTTGCACTTTCTAGCATTTACCTGACGGCAATAAGCGACCTATAATTCTCACCCCGAAATTGGAGTATCAGATCGAGCATGGTGCATCAATATGCACCAAACACGAGCTTGTGAGACAGTGGGCGGATCTATTTTTCAGACCGTTCTCTCAGTTATACAGAGGTAAGCACTGTAGTTTTGCAAAATCACGCCAATGGATTGTATTTCAGTTCGCATAAAGGCAGATAATTCTGAAGTTGTACACATAGAGGGCGTTCCTATGCAAAAAATAAATATGGAGGCGATGCAGCATTACCAGTACAAACCGCACGAGCGGCTTGGCGCGCTTTTCACCATTTTCTCCCAGTTGACAACGTTAGAGCAGGGCAATTACGTATTACGGCATAGTGGGCGAACTGGCGCCTTCGGCGAGATACTCAAGGAAACTTCGGAACTGTACGAGTCGATTTATTGTTCACATCAGTAATTGTATTGTATTGTAGGGATGGTAATGTTAAGTTGGATTTACACAAAGAATACAGCGCAGGAAACTGTAGCGTGAAAACTGCTAGAAATCGACCGTGGTGTCCCATCGACGTTAATTACGTGCTACACGTTCATAGTGTAAGCAAAAGGATGCCCGGCATGTTTAAATATTTCCAGGGTAGAGTGACAAATCTAAAAAAGAGTTAGTATGATTTTTGTCTTCTTTCTAAAATTTTTATATTACTGTGTATGGCGACGGCCTTGCATTTACAATAATTAGTTTTATATACACCAAAAACAAATTCAGATTAACAGCTGAATGTCAAAATGGCGAGTAGTGGTGATAATCAAAACACTTTATATAATTAAGGACAGTGATAGCAGGTCTGTGTAGAGCAGTGGCGTGGAAGCTAAGGAGTCCTGGTTCGAATCCGGGTTTGGGCATGGATGTTTGTAAAAGTATAGTGAGTTGGGTTAGTAGAGCAGCCCTTTGCTGAAACCCTGCCCACTTAAAATAAAAATCGACATCCCCATAGAAATTTTTTTTTCAAAAAATTGCGCTGGTTAAATGCCACTTGCTTTGACAGTTTAATAAACATTATTTTTTCATCAACTTTGGTCGTAGTTTTATCAAATATATTCTTGTTAAGCTCGTTTAGATGGAAACGTCAAGGTCCTTTACATATTAGGTTTCATTATGTACCATAAACAAAATTCAAGAAACAACTTTGACTTTTAGTCCAGACTATATAACATTTTTTTACAAAAAAATTAGTTACTGGGCGAAACCGGGTTTTTCAGGCAGGTGAAATGAATAGAAATTGGGAAAAAAATAATTAAAACAGCTGAATTTTTCCGCGGGTGAAATCCCGGGGGTTAAAAGAGGTGGAAAGTGGTGTTTTGCAATTTGAGGCAAAACTATTAACCTTAGGCGAAAATGTTCAATATAAAAGTTATAGAGATTAAAAAAATGAGCAACTTTTGGATCTGCACTATTTTCACATAACCTCCAATTTACCTAGAAAAACCGGAAAAACTTTTTTTGTTGCTTATTCTTATTTTTGCGGAAAAAAGTCGTAGGGGTTTGAAATTTGGAGGACACATAGCTTGTTTATGATAAAAAAGAAGATAATTTTTAAGCCCATAAAGTTGAACTGTTTCCAAGATCTCACGATTTCTGAAAAAAACACCTCTTCTTCAAGGGGATGAAAAATCTATTTTTTTTCATCGTACAGAGGTGCGCGAGGTAGCAACATTTTCGGGAGGGCTTATATTTTAATAAACAAAAATAAAAAAATAGTATGCCTATAGCAAAAATTCGAGAAAATCGCCAAAATCTGGAAAAACAGTTTTAAGATAAACACGGTTTTTGACATGATTAAGGCTCAGCTTAATCCCATCAGCTGTAAAACAGGCAGGCAGGAAGAAGAGTTAGTGAACAAAAACAAATTGTTCAGGAAGCAAAAGAATTCGATTTTACTTCAAACTGCTTTTATTGCGGTAAAAATGCAGAAAAAATAAATAATAAAGTTGTTTAATTAAGGCAGTTGGGCACTAGGAAACAAAAGAAAATATTTTAGGTACATTAAAGACGAGAGAGAAGACAGATTTCAAAAACTTTTTATTAGCGCGGATCCAACACGTTAATTTATTTGCAAAAAAAGCTATTTACCTATTGTCAAAAACGGTATATTTTTAAACTGTTCCCCCCGTTTTTGACGCTTTTCTTAAAATTTTTTTATTGGAATAATATTTTTTATTTTTGATTATTAAAATGTAAGTCGTTACGAAAATTTTGCTACCCCGCGCATCTCTGTACGATGAAAAAAATAGATTTTTCATCTCCTTGAAAAAGAGGTTTTTTTTTCAGAAATCGTGAGATCTTGGAAACGGTTTAACTTTACAGGCCCAAAAAATTATCTTCTTTTTTATCATAAAACAAGCTATGGTTCCTCCAAATTTCAAACCCCTACGACATTTTTTCGCAAAAATAAGAATAAAAAACGAAAAAAAAACAGTTTTTCCGGTTTTTCTAGGAAAATTGGAGGTTATATGAAAATAGTGCAGTAAACAAAAGTTGCTCATTTTTTTATCTCTATAACTTTTACATTTAACATTTTCGTCTAAAATTAATAGTTTGGCCACAGTTTGCAAAACACCACTAATTTTTTTTGAAAATAAATTATTTATATCTATTTAGCCTGGACTATTTGCAAAGGGTGACATTGAAATTTGGCATTAAATTTTTTCCGCACCTTCCTAATCCTGGAGAGTACTCGCTGTAACCTCCGTTCTGCATTACTCACAATTTTATTCTCTTCTCAAACACATGATTATGTATCTCATAGCCACCCTATTTTTGTCTAAATTTTGCTTTATTTCTAGCATTAAGTAACTAAGCAAGTGTTACGCATGTATTTTTTCAAAAAGATAAGTTCTTACAAAATATAAAATAAAAATGCGGGTGTATATAAAAAAAGTTGATGATGGCTGCAAACACTGAAACGTCGGATTTAAAACCAATAAGTAACGAAGTTGCAATGAGCAGATGCCAATTTTCAAAAATCTCTTCAAGTAAAGTCACACAAAAATAAAAACGTCACTAGCAAATTCCGTTTTCCGAAATTATTTCAATTGAACCGTAAGGGACTGGACAGTGACGTGAAAACGTGCATAGAATCATTAAATGGGCCTCCATATGAAGAATATTTTATATATCCCCGCGAGTTTCAGCAATAGTCGACTGTCTCAAGATAAATGGGACACCCTGTATATAAATTAATTAAGTGACATTCAAATATAAGATTACGCAACTGGTTCTCACAAAAGAAATTACCGCTACACCCCAGTTCGTCTCGTTTGTGCAGGTGCAGTTAAGCCCCAATAAATCGTCCCCTGGAACTGATATCTTTCCTATGTAAGAATGGTTGCTTTAAAAGTATCGTATATAACACGCTATTCATTTTCGTTTCATTACAAATTCCATTGTTATACTCGGAAAAAACGAAGTGCGCGCCCTTTATTAAATTAATGATTCTGAGAATGATTCTAATTAGGTAGTCCGCGGTCTGTGTGGTGCAGTGGCGTAGAAGCTCGGTTAAGGCACTAAGGGTCCATGGTTCAAATCCAGGCCCGGGCATCATTTTTTTATAATACTTTTTCTCATAAATATCTCAATAATCCACACGCAGTTGTTACTTCACATGCTCTTTTTACTTTTGTTTGTCATTTATCTGCAGTCACCCCTTTTAATACTCGTATTTGAGTCTGGAACGAATATAGGATTATGTTGGGTGGGGAATCATTCTTGATAAGCAGGGGGTTCTCCCCCGGAAATGTTTTGACTTTTTGTAATAGTAGGTCATATTAAAGCAGTCTGCCATTGGCAGTTCTTTAACCAATCACAAAACACAAATGTTTTAACACTTGCCAAAAACTTAATTTGAAATGGGCTTCCGAATAAACTAGGGAAATCGAGATTCTAATTTTGTAGGTGCAAATCGGTCCTAATTTATAAGCAAATTAATTTCAAATTTGGGACAAGTGGGAGTGCTAAATTTATTTGGCGCCAGGGGTCATTCAATCCTGAATAAGGTAGTAGAAGGGTACTATAAATGTGGGCCATGACTGCAGTCATGTTATGAACTGCATTTAAAGCGTCTATTTTACTGACAAGGGTTGTTAAAATAGTCAATGTTACACAAAGGTCAAAAGATATAATTTTAATAGTTTTCTAGAATGGAGAGGTTTTATAACGTATTAAAATTTTGCTATATTTTCAGAATTAAACTTAATACTTTAGTCATCGATAAACTATTTTTATGACCCTAAACACAAACGCACCATGTCTGCCGTTTACTTCTGCCAACTTTCAATATTTACCACCGAAAGTGATTTGGCTTTAAGAACCAATTTATGACTTGCATTTGCTCCATGGGCAAAATACTCTGACAAAAAAGTATTGCAATGTACATTACTATAACTTTGAATTGTTTCAGACAAGAAGCAAAAAAAAAAAGAATGGAAGAACAGGAAACAAAGCCCCACCTGAAAAACGATAAAATAGAACACCTTTCTTCTGTATTTTTTTGTTTATTTTCAGCCTTAAATATGTGTAAGAAAATACAATAAAATTAGAGGACTATTTCATTAGAGATGATTTTTTGTTAATTATTTTTTTCTCTTTAAAGAAAACCACAATTCAACTATTACTGTTCAAAATAAAATGTAGTTAAAAGTTATTAAACAAACCGTTGTTAGTTTATCGACCCATTCCAAAAGTCTTACTGAAAGTAGTTTTTTTTTTAATTATATACAGCGTTTTTTTTTATATTATTCAAAAAATTTTAACAAATATTTCTACCAAAAAATGACTTTTTTAATTGAAAGTAAGTAAATTACAGTTAAATTAATTAAATAAAATCTATGATAGTTTTTTAGCCTTTTGATAAAGCGTATCTACTACTTTACTCATGCTTTGTATAGTTTCTAATGCCATTTCGTACGTTTTATCTACAGGGGTGTCTTCGAAAACGATTAGAACACCTGAAACAGACGATTAGTAGAATGTGACGATTGTGCGGCGGAGACTTACCTTCGCCTTGATCTAAAATACCGTGAAATTTGGCATCCAAAATCATTTGTGAGAGTTTCTTTTCTACCTGTGGCATCGGAAGTTTAATAGTCCTTGCAATATACTCAACTTGCACTCGTGAATACGGCTCGATGATACGACACAAATTTTGTTCCAGCATATTATCGTACAATGTTCCCAAATGTGCACGTACGATCACATCGTCCTCGAGTTCGTGCTTGTACTGTTTGACTGCCTGCTGAAAGTCGGCCAGGGATCGTTTGTGGGAAGCTTGTGCTACACTTTTCATTGCGTCTATATCTCGTCCAGCGTACTTAATTGCGAGTTTACCACTGACAATCAGTTGAACGTCTTCGGGATTATTAAGCATGATTTTCGATAACAACATGTATTTAAGTGCTGTTAGCGCCTTTGCCGATTCCACACTGTCGAAACCCTCAAACGCCTCGTAGAAGTATGAGTAGGCAGTTTTAAAATCCTTCTCGTCAGCGGCGTGTAGTATTCCCGATTGTAAATCTAAGGCAGCTTGCATTTTTGGTGGACAGTATATGGCATTTGCGGTAGTTCGAGCTGATGTCAAAGCGGCACGAGCTTTTGGTAAATTGCTGAGTGCGTGATACGTCTTACTCTCCAACAGTTGGACTTCTACCAATAAGTTTTTGTCGTCTAATTTCTTCAGTTCCTTAAGTAGCGTGGACCCTAATTGTAAGGCTTCGGGGTACATTCCGGTATCAAAGTATAAAGCGACAAGACGAGCCTCCAGGGACTGTCGTAGGAAGGTTCGTCGTTCTTCTTTTGCCCATTCTATGCACTCCTTACACAGTTGCACTTCGATACCGATTCCGGCTTCTAAATCCAAGAAGAAGTCGACTAGCGACCTAACCAGTTTAGCAGCTTTCGCTTTACTTATTAAACTTAGAAAAGGTCTGGTACCTTTTATCAACTCCGCCAGTTCTTGCGCCTTTCCTTCCTTTTTGAACTGTTCCCCTTTATTGAGAATATCTTGCTCTTGATTCTTAATCTTTTCTTCTTCATTTTCGGGTTCATCTTCGCTACATATCAACGATTGTAGCTCTTTATCTCGATTATTAACAACTTGCGACCGCTCGAAAAGCATTGCGCCCGCCATCTTAAAAATCTACAAAATCACTTGTCATCGAGGCCGCATGGAAGGAGTAAACGTCAGTTCCAAACACAAAAGTTCTAAATTTGTTCAAATTATTACTCTTGGCACTTACCGTAAATTGACCCACAAAATTGGAATAATGGCAGAAATTAAAAATATACACTGACGATTAAAGCGTAATTTTAGGTTACGATTTTCCCGCGTTTTCCAAAATACTTATCCTACAGTTACGTCAAAATTTTGATTACTTTCGTTCATTTGTCTCTTATAGCTTACTACTTTTTTTTGGAAATAAATACAAGGGCCCTTTACGGAAATAGTATTTGTTAAATGTGTTGCCTAACTACATGCCATTTTGTTACCTCGATTATGAACTTTTCCTTCATTATCTTGGTTTCCACAATATCTTAATTTTTAGCGCATTTTCCGACGGATTTGTGACCGCCGTCTGTCTGTCCGTCCTCCTACAGTTTTCCAATTGGCTCCGTAGCGCACTGGTAGGTGCAATTAGAATATTTATTTAATGTCTTTCTTGTTATGGGTCCTCAGCAGGCCTTCGCCCAATTACAGAATGACCGGGCATATGCTTTTTAGGAGAGGTGCCCCTGCAGAAGGTACTTGGATATAAATATATAACATTCTGAGTATGTTTGTCGACCAGCCAAGGGCTGCAGTTCGATTTTTTAATATACGAATAAGTAAGTTCGTTATTTTCATGCTGAAAAGTCTATCCACAATTTCGCTGAGATTTTTTTTGCACCCTGATTTCGGAGTCTTATCATCTTCAGGTAGACGTTTTTGGAAATATTTTTTCAAAGTCAGAAAAGGTATGTCCTAATGTCCACATTCATGCACATGAGACGTTATATAAATCTGTCTATTTAGATTGTTTCTGTCAAATATAAGTGTAGTGTTATCTTTGTTTTTGTTTTGTAATCGTGGACATACATATGGGACACCAAACTTACGAGAAAGAATATAAGACATTAATCCGCGCATTAAGTGAAACGAGACGTAGTAGAACGTGCCATTTCGTAAACTTCGTGCGAATGTACGTTTGTTGGCGTCTCTACCAAAACGTAAATTACGCATTTTCACCACTGGCCTTTCGTAACAAATTATAATTGCTTCGCAATCGTGTCATGAGCGATAGAGGAGTAAGTATCCAATTTACGATTAATTCTAAATACGAACGTGTATAAAATTTTAGTTTTGCCGGTTAAATGACCACCACGTTTTCCGTTGATAATAATCGGAGGACGCGTTGTTATCCAATTATCGATTTAACAAGTTACAATTTACGTTTCAGATTAGCCACTCGCCCGGTAGTCATAAGAATATGAACGACCGCGACCATTCCCCACACGTAAGACGCGAGGATTCGCCTCGTAACCACAAAGGAAAAAGCTATTCACGGTTAGTTGCAATGTGCCCGAAACCTGTTGGTTATTGGAAAATTACTGTTTTCAATGTAGTTTTTCGATTAAAACAGGAATATTGTGATAGGATCGAATGCATCCGCTTATCACAGGCGTGCTGCTGCGATTTTCTATAACATTACCATTCGTGGTGCGACCGAGTTTAATTTTTTTCTGTGATTATAGGAGTCCAAGCCGATCTCGCAAAGTTTACAGAGATGACCGTGACAGAGATCGCCGCCGCGATGATCGGGATAGGGATAGCCGTCGATATAGGTATGTAGTCTTAGATTATTTTTGTAGTCACACTGTCGTCTTTAGTTGTTGAACCGATCTTTTCGACATTGTTTTTTCGAGGCATTCAAATCGCGTGTAGTTTTGCTAAAGATGGCAGCGCGCAAATGTATGCGAGTTGCGAATTGTCGACAATACAAACCCGAGAACTGTAGACTGTAACATTAGATTGCACATCTGATCTTACAGGTCTCGTAGTCGATCACGTTCAGACAGACGTTACAAGTCGTCTAAATATTCTCACAGTAGATCTCGCTCCCACTCGCATGGGAGAGGTTATGGTCGTCGTTCGCACTCACACAGCCCTATGTCCAGTCGCAGGCGCCACCTTGGAACGCGCGATAATCCGAAACCGTCCCGCTGTCTCGGCGTTTTCGGTCTGAGCGTTTACACGTCCGAAGAGGAGCTCTATCACATATTCTCCAAATATGGACCAGTCGAACGGGTCCAAGTTGTTATTGATGCAAAGGTAATTGACGTAATAATTGATAAGTGCTTATCTTGTTTACCGATAAACCCTGTACATTTGAGATGTTTGGTTTACTTAATACTGAAGGTCTTGATGCATACAGGAAGAGCATAGTTAGAGATTTCGTCCTGACATAGCACTGATTTGTATGTGCAGGCCCGTTACTCTAAAACACTTATGTCCGGTTTCACAAACAATGATTAAGGTTAATCAATGATTAAAAACAATAAAATGCTAGCCACCTTTGATTATACGTTCAGATGTTTCCCATTCTAATATTTTTAATCAGTGATTAACCTTAAGCATCGTTTGTGAAACCTAGCATTAAAATGGTTTTTTACAATCGCTGATTTTTTGTTAATCTATCCAGACTGGTCGATCGCGTGGATTTTCCTTTGTATACTTTGAAAGTAGTGAAGATGCAAAGGTGGCCAAAGATCAATGTAATGGTATCAAGATCAATGGGAAGAGTATTCGAGTAGATTTCTCCATCACAGAAAGAGCCCACACACCAACGCCTGGAATATACATGGGAAAACCCACATAGTATGTATTTTAATTTTTCAGCCAAATTTTAACATTTTGCTGCAAGGCACAGATTGTGGATTTCAAACTTGGAAAAGGTCATGGTAGGTTCATTTCGTTCCATCACACAGTTTAAGTTTTTTTTGTTTATTTAGTGATGTGCATAATGCACCTCTTGATCATTTGTACAGGGTGAGTCAACAATTGCATGGAGTAACTTAATGCCTTGAAGATAAGATTTTTCGATAGAGTGCTTTTGTATTATGATATGGTTGAATATTGTCCACATTTAAATATATTTTGAATTAAACAGGGTAGGGCGCCAAAATGGTACATTTTTTTAAATAGAACCTCCTGTATTTGAATGCATTTTTTAATTCTATGTGTAATTGTACGTCTTTTATATTATATGGTTAATATCCAAAGAACTAGTAGCTTTAAAGATCATTCGATTTGTAAAAAATAATGGGCATTTGCAAGCGTCAGTATATTGTCAAAATTATTACTTAAATTTTGATTCCAGGTTTATATCTTATCCTGGGTTAAGTAAATGTCAAATAAATACATCTACATCTACTATAAAACGTTAAAAAAATAGCTTACAGGGTGTTTTTTCTAGATCCAAAGTTACAAAACTTCATATTAAAAAATTTCACTTTTTTTAAACGTAACACCCTGTATATTTTTCTGTCATTTACTTAGCTCCTCCAAAAACCTTCAACTTTTGATAATGTCCTATACCTTTCTCTGATATTTTTCAAAGTATCTTTGTTTTTCTGGTTTTTATATTCTAATCTTAAATAAGTCATATGTAATTTACATAATAACGGGGTGGCCATGCAAAAAAAAGGCAATTTTTATCTATCTCTTCCAAAACGAAAACCTAGGAAGCTTTTAAACGGGCGTAAAAAAACTTTAGTCTGTTGTGAAAAATGTCTTTCAAAAACATAGGATGCTAGATAGTTCCAGAAGCATCTGATAGCAGTTTTTCAAAATACTTGAGCGTTATAGGCACTGCCAGAGTGTCTTGTGCTCACCTTTCACACAAAAGGGCATAGACAGCTTTTTGAGAGTATCAGAATGACTCCAAGGTTATAGGAAACAAGTAAACTTCAAAGATTGTTCGTTTTTAAAGCTCTTCTCAATCTGCCATAGCTTTCTTGGTCAAGGCACTTTCAGGATTTAGGGCTTCTAAAACCTCCTATTTATAAAATGTGGGCAATTTTTGTAGCATATCGATGCCTTCCAGAATAGTCCAGCACATTTTAACCAGCACAGAAACCTTTTACGCTCTCCTCAGAACATTCTAAGATAATTCCTGAAGCTTGTAGCTCCATCCAAACCCATCGTAAGAGTTAAAAGACTAGGTTCTAGAAAGCGCTATGCAAGGTTCTTGATAAGATTCCAGAACAGATTGTCGGAAGAGGGTACTCACAAACGGCGAATGGGACGTCTGGAAGAAATATATATCCATTGGTGTTGTCAGAACTTTAAGGCGGTCTTTAAATGTGTATGTGTAAAGAGCCTCCTCCCCATTAATCATCTACCAAGGAAGTAAACATCGATAGCATGCTCTACCTTATAACCGAACCATTTGCTATTTCGGTTAAAAAAATACTTGTTTTTCTTCAGCTGTATTTTCAACTATTGCTTTTCTCGTACACTCATCAAACGTCGTATTGTTGTTGATTCATTTGCGGTGTTAGTCATTGTAGAATATTTGATACTTGTTTAGCATTAAGGTTAAGTTGGCAAAAAATTTTGAGGCAGCTCTGAATAAAAGTGAAAATTTGGATGTTTGGCTTTCGAAAATGTTTTGCAAAGTGTACAACTCTTAATCCACAAGGCAAGATTTTATTCTCCGCCATCAAGTCAATAAAGAATTAGTCACTGGCGATATGACGAGTACTTTCCAGGAAGTATGATATGCTAACTCTAGAATTCTCTAGAAACTTTTCGGTTTGCTATATAAGCAAATTTAATTGTGATTTAGAAGTTTCAATATCAACGCCGAAGTGATAAATAGTGAAATTTGCGCTCGTCTTATAAATTTGAGTACAAAGTACAAGCAAGTGATAAATAATTGTTTTAAATCAATATTCTATGTAACGGCGCACCCCTCTTTTTTGCTATTTATGTAAAATGGTCACGAGCAAGATGACATTTAACCCTATTCATCTTACATATAATATTTTATTATTAATAATAACCACCATATGTTCAGCTAACCACTAATGTTAAGTATAAGAAAAATTTTTAACACTAAAGCTTCTGAACCAATAGCAACAATATAAAATGCATTTTCCTCTCACAAAACGCAACGTGTCTTAACTCCACCTACAAAAAAAAAGAGAAAATCGAGAAATACCAGTTCTTTGGCACTAATAGTAACGGTTAGTAAATGCCTTGGGTTCCGGTACCTGTTCTTTTCGATTCCAGTTCCAACTCCAGATTCTGTACTTCTTGATGAAATAAAAAATATTGTAGTGTCTATTGAAAGGTTCCAAACACGACTTCAGTAATCTGTAATTTTCTAGTAAATGTTGATAATTTGATTTATTATTTATTTATTATTACCCTCTCTTGTTCTGGGCCCTCAACAGGCATGCGCCCAATTACAGAGTGACCCGCATAATGCTATTTAGAGGTGCCTCTGCAGGTCTCCTCTGATGGTCTATACTACTCCGGTATTTACCTTACGAATTAGGAAAATTGCAGGAAAACCTAATTCGGAGTAGCCGGTAGAATGCTCGGAACTGGTCTAAGGTAATTTCCATCTCGCCCACAGATGAAAAATTCACCCCAACCCAGGTTCGAACACCCGACCTCCGGATTTATAACCCAACGCTCTACCACTGAGCCTTGAAGATGGACCATGGAGATGACTAACAACTATCGCTGTAAATATACCAAAAGACTGTATATGGGGAATGGTCTCCACTGTTTGAGATCCACAATTTAGTGACGCACCTCCAAAACTTAAAAAGGCACTTTGCAAGCACTTAAAGGACCTTAACAAGTATTTGGTAGAGCAATTATTGAGACAAATAGAAAGGTGCTTCATAAGTCAACGGTACCAAAAAGGCGATCTCGCACAAATTAATTTGACTATTTTTTTTTGTTGCAGTGTATCCAGTGAGCGTTGGGACCGTCGGCGAGATAGAGATAGAGAGTAAGTAACTTTACATCTAAAATAAACAATCGGTGTTGGTACAATTTTCTTATCTTTTATATGCTTTTGTGATTATTATAGATCTAGATATCGGCGCTCGCCATCACCGTATTACAGGCGATCGTCCCGACGTTATGAAAGATCGCGATCTCGCTCCTACTCGCCTCGTAAGTATTCGTAATTATCTTTTACATAGTTCGTTAGGTTGCATGTTAATTTAATCGCTTCTTATTAGTGTGATAAGGACACACCTCATTTATCTGATTGCACTATTACCATTACTATTAAGCGCGGCCTGGATAGGATGAACCTGTAATATTCGAGATTTTGGTATTCAATGCGATCTTCTTGATGCCTTACAGGGAGATTGTATTTAGAGGATCGTTCTGGCATGTACATTAAATTCATGTTCAGGTCCATTACTCTCAAACATTTCCCATTTTGCAATTTCATTATTGGATCAGGCCCCCACGTCTTCATCTCAAATTCCGAATCACAGCGGTGCTATTCAACACTGAAACACTCAGATCCAATACTGGGTCCTTTAGACTTTGACTGAATGGTCGAAATGACGTCGTCACAGTAATTGGATAATTGAGGTGTTGCGAAAGCTTTCCATTTTACGGCACCATTAACAAATAGTACTTACTTCCGGTTACAAATTTCAAAATAATGCTGAGTAAAGTAGCGTCTAGTTTGTGAGACTTTTGGTCTCGTGATTTGCGGTAAATTTTGTTTTATGATCGGTTTTTATTATAATCCTACTTACAGGTCGTTATTAAGCCCAGAAGGCCGCTGCGTGTAATTGAGGATTATGTAGAATTACTTTACATATTATAGTTATTAAATATTTCAAGATGAGTTTACATCTCTTGTGTCTGGTGTGGAGTTTAAGCTTCTTTGTCTCGTTGGATGTAAACTGATCGATATATTTTTTAATTTTCACGTCCATCCTACTTTGTATGTTAGCTTAATCGTCATCTTCATTGTTTCGCCCTTATCACAGTTAGGGCTTTACCATTTAATCCTTGTACTTGCTACTTTTTGTGTGTATATTTTGACATTTAATATTTAAATAATTTGACTTGTCATTCGTAAATAGGTAAGGAGTAATAAATGATCAATTTTCACACTAATATTGTTTTCCTTTGTTAAAAAGGGTTAAGAACAAGACCTTATGGATGAATTTCAAGTTTATGTAAGAAATAAAGAAATTTCTCCTATGAAACTATTCAGCTCATACTGAAAAAATGAAAATAGAATGTGTCTCAGTTACAATGAATGTATCAAGAGAATTGAAAATTCGTTTACAACTCTCTTGAGAAAATGTGAAGAATGAAATTTTAGGTCCTTCTCTCTAGGTTGAAGACGTCGCTAAGTTTTGTCGAAAGCAAGATACAGAAACACCGAACATAATGTGTTTTAGATTAGCATTTAGTATGTTTATTTCACATTAGGTTCTTGATGTTAATAAATTGTAAAAATATTATATTGGGAACTAATTTTAATGATATTCTCCACCCATAATCCTGATCCATAAAATCATCATTATAGTGGTACTATATTTGAACTGTTATTTCAATAGTTTGATTAATTGCTACAATTAATTCTTGTTTTGAACAATACTGCACTCAACTGCTTGGTTTCAAATAGACTGCGCAAAGAATTTTTTTGGAAATTAGAACACTGCAAAAAATTTGAAGCAATTTCAAGCAATGTGAATTTCTACTGACTTAAAAAATAATTAATATATCTTCCCCTTACAAGCAGTCACGCCAATAGTTGGGAGCCATGTCTAAAAATATTGCCACATTCAGTAAGTACAATTCAGTGGTACATGTTTGTATATTGAATTTCAGTGTTGAAACTGTAGGGAGAAAGAAATCCGTATTAATACTTTTGTAAAGCGAAAAAATATTGCAATTTCTAGAAACAAATTTTGGATGGAGTATAAAATGCTTTTAATTGGTTGGGGTCGGAGGGGCCCATAGGTGCAAAATATGTGGATTCGTCTTGATTCTAAGCCGTTGGTGGTCTGGTTTTCGGGAAAGAACACGCTAGAGAAATTCCGGGAGTATCAATCCAGTGCGCATGATTGGTATTCTACTGTTGGTCATCTCGCTCATTATGACTATGAACGCACCATAGGAAATTTAATAGTATTTTTTTAATTTCCAATTATTGGCTTCCGTAATTATTTTAGAAATAAAGTTTATTTAGGTTTTTTGTAGAGAAAAAAATTACGAATTCGTACATACTGTACCAAATTGTAGCGTTTTATTATAAAATACAGGAAAAGGAACTACCTATTAGCGTTTTGAAATATATACAGAATGCCAATTATTAATTATTAAATTTGTTTCACCTAGACAACCACCTATATTGTTTTTCTAGGATCTATCGATTGCGTTAATGGTCGCCACAAGAGCTTTGCTTGATTTCAAACTGCCATGGCACCACTGACTTTAAAAGCGCCAGTTTTTAGATATCCAATTTCTTGGTTTCAAAGTTCAAAAAAATAAAAGCTATAAGAGTATGCATGGATTCATAGTTTTTTTCACTACAAAAAAACCTAAATAGACTATCTCTAAAATAATTAAGGAAGCCAATAATCAGAAATAAAATACTATTGAATCCTATGGTGCGAACCCAGTATATGATCATTGATCTATTCCTTAGTAGATCTATTCACTCAACGTCTAAGGTTATTGCGTTTACCTGATGATATAGACATGTACAGTAATACAGCAAATTTCGTTTCTGTAAAACCTGTAATAATTATGAATAGAAAACTACTTATTTCTGAGCTGACAAATAGGAAATCATTTGCAGGATGCATATTATGGTACATTCAACCGAGGCACACGCTGTATACAATTGTACTGTATATTAATTTTTAAGGGTGGTTAGGAAATAAAATTTCAAATTTAAAAAAACGGCTAATTAATAGCATAAATACAAAGAACATTTAAATGAGTAATAGATTTAGCAACAATTAACAAATATTATTGGCTTTGAGTTTCCTGAGAATCCTTATAAACATTTTCTAACGCTATCGTAATTGTCCGAACATCCCCTTCAATAGTCTTTGCCCAATTTTCGACGTCACCCAATTCCTTAAGAGCGCTGCTAAATGTCTCGACCAAATTTAGCCATTGCCCTGTTTGCTTAGAGAAATTTGCGGCACTCGAGTGTAGCTGCTTTGCCTCCGCATCTAGTCTCTTCTGATTAAGGTACGCCTGAGCAACGCTACAACAGTTCCAATTAACTTCAGCTTTAAATTGCGTTCTAAACGTACCCCACGTTTAAATGGTCGACAAGGGCCTGTGTCAAATTGCTTGCTGCTAGTACGGCTTCTTTGCGTTTATTTTCTTGAAATGAAACGTTAGGTTAATCATAAAATGAGGTAGGTAAGGAGTACCTTGGCTTTCTTTCTTGGCGGATTGGCGCACTTGGTGCTCTTTAATCATTGAGGATAACATTCTAATGGAATAAATTAAAAAATTTAACCTCAAATTCAATGTTGATATTTGGCCGCTGACGCATAGACAGTGGCGTATCTGTTCCAACTGTATTCTGGGGTTCTTTTATGTGCTTAACATTTATCCCGGATTTATTCTAAATAGGGAATTAAGAATTCAGGAATAACGGGTGATTTAAATTGAAAAATTATCTAATCAATTTCTTTCTCACAATTCAAACGAATTTTCCTAACGTGGAACAAACGGGTGATAAGAAAGACATATCAAATGCAACACGATTTTGTAATTCTGAAGAGCACAATAAAAAATCGAAGGGAGCGAATGCTAATGGTAAAGAGAAAACCGGACACAGCCTAAAAAATTGAAAAAGTCAAAAACTGGAAACTTTAAAAATAGCAACGAAAACAGGTGGACGTCAAAATCTGAATCGATCAAACTTTTGATTCTGATGTGAATTGAGGCTTAAGTTTTGATGTTTTGGATTTTATTTCTAAGACTGGATTGTGAGGTCGCAGCCAAATTCTGACATACGATGAGGGTCGATTGGTAAATCTCCTGTTTTGAAACAAATTTCGATCATACAGTCTAAATCAGAACTGTGCAAAGGAATTGGTACAAAAGGCTTGGAAAACCCTCAAGCTCTAAAAGAGCTTGCAATTCCAAGGCTTCAAGCCTTTTCTAAAAACAGGGCTTTGGAATTTACGTCTAAAGCCTTTTCGCGTGAGCTTGGGGCTTTGGATTTCAGACAAAGAGCTTAAATTCCTTTTAAAAGAATTGAAATTACTTTTTCATTGAAAACTCCATTTTAAGGATGCAATTCCCTTTAAAGAGCTTCAATTCCTTTTTAATAGGCTTGAAATCCTCTTTAAAAAGGCTTCAATTCCTTATATGCCTCCCACTCCCACATCATTTTTTATTTCCAATTTTTGTGAGCTTGCACTTTGCAGTACGTAGAACTGTTAGAATATTGTAAAATTTTGCAACCAATAGCAGTCACGTTGGATATTCTTCAAGGTCAAAAAATACCTTTTATGGGTACTTATTGCCGTCTGTCTGTTCTTTACACATCAAACTTTTGCAACTAAAAACAAAATCTAAAATTAACGGAACCCATTCTAAATGAATGCATTAATGCACTATCTCGCCGATTTTCATCTCTATTAACCTTAGATAGTAAATCTGAAGATGCTATTGTTCCAACTTTTACCATACCAAAATTTAAGTTGCGTTGGTATAATGCTATAAAAGCAACAGCTACGAAAGATTTGGAGGCCATTACACAGTTGATTATAAAGGCTGCGCAAGATCTTCAAGATTCGGATGAAGAAGCTACATAAATTCTTAACCAAGCGGTAGCTACTGATCCCGACCCTGAGGATCTATTTTTCAATTTTGATAATAATGAGGAAGTTGCGGCGTTGGCAAGTGCGCAACGTGTAACAAATATTGAATTAGAAGTTCTCCATTATCTAAAAAATCCCAGAACGGACATTACCAGCATAAAAGACTATAAAACTATAACTAATTTATTTAAAAAATTTAATGCATTAAATTAAATTAATGTGCCGCAGTTGAGAGGTTATTTTCATTTGCGTCCTACATTAATTCACCTCGGCGCCATGCGTTGAGCGACAAAAACTTTGAGAATCTGGTGTTATTAAAGGCAAATGCCAACTTTGATGCCCCTTTGTCGTAATGTGACCTGTAATGATTTTTACCTTTTACCATAATTACTGTCTACAGTGTCTATACTGAATTTATTTTTTTTGTTATGATGGAAAAAATCGTCTTTTATTTATTTTTTGGAAGAATAAAATTTTATTTTTTATAATGCACGTAACTTGTTAAGTAATTATTTGTTTGTTTGTTTGGTGGGACGAGATCTAGTAATGCGAAGGAGTTAAGAACTTATATTAAATAATCAAATACCGATACCTCGTACATGATCAAGATTACAACCGCTTCCCCTGCAAGTGTCCTCACGTTTGTTTGAAGCGGGGGGTGGTTTAAGTGACGCTAGGGGAGGACGACTATAACTACTCATACAAAGGGCCCAAAAAATAGGTCTATTTGTGTGTGGATATGTAAGTGCACCATCGGCTTGAAATCAAAAATCCAGAAGGACAAAACTCTTATAGGTACCTACGAGCACGGTGGTCACTGGCCACTACGTTTTCATGTGCTAATTAATAATTAATTGAATCGAGATTCCAAAATTGTAATAGGCCCAGAGATATTATTTGAATAATGTGGTTCTTCGATCTGGATCGCTACATTTTTTTAAATAGCAATATCCTTTACGTGAGTAATCATTTATCTATTTTTTGTCACACTCACATTCGCCTCAATCTGCAGCAAAGCATTTTGATCACATTGGCGATAATAATTAGTCACATTATACCGCAATGTCTTTTGGCGTTAACATTTTTGGCTGAGGTATTACCAAGAAATCGGCACTGTCACCTCATACTTCGCGAAGTTAATTAGTAACATTTATCTTTTTTCTTATAATGCAATCGAAATGAAATGTCACTCGCCTTGTGATTCACTTCGTCGTGACTCACCGAGCGAAGAATAAGAATATTTATGGCAATTTCTCTGTGCAGGGGAGAAAATGAGGTCCAAAAAAAATACCCCAGCGGTCTTTAGACTAATAATAGAGTTCGCGTGTTGGACCTATTTCTACACGTTTTCTTTCAATTAATTACCGAAGTTGGGTCCCGCGCAACGGGAAATATGCACATGTTTACGATAGGCGTTTACGTCAATTGTTATAAATAAAAAAACCTACTTCCTACTTGAAGATTTTGGTTTGTTTTCCGTTACTTTACACAATAATAAATTATTAGTGCATGTATTGAGCAGCATTTTATTAATAAATGCCTTTAAAATGCGAACATGTGTGCCTAATTAAGTTGTGCGCTAACGCAGTGGCGTGCCGAAAGTTCATTTTTTTGTGAGCTTTTTTAGAGTGTGACTCGTCCGGGGCTCGGCGTACGGCACTGTTTCGTTTTGCGTAAATTTGGAAAGGTCTGAATTCGAAAATGCAAATTTGGAAAGCCGAAGCAGTTTTTGGGAGCGTGCCCGATTTGAATTAAATGCGGGCTGTTCGTTGCGTGTAAAGTGCCATCTCGCGTCAATTTATCCTCCATCTTTGGAGTTCTTGATAACAGGCCAAGTACGAATAAGGTGGAGCAGAGAAAGTTAAAAGGAATAATAATAAAGTGTTCTAAAATGTGGAGTTGGGATTAGTGTGTGCGGCGTTTACAAAATGAAGTGTTTGGCGTGTTTATTTTTGTGATTTATTTATTTTTTTTAGTTGTCCATTAGGTAGGTTTGGGACTCATTACAAGTTTCATTCAGGGAATGAGAATGTTTGTTTTGGTGTAAAAGCGATGTGAGATAACTGCCAACAACCTTGATTGATTTAATTGACAAAACCTTACCCACATCCTGCAGGATGCGAGTGTAATTTATGTTTCTTAATCGCCAGCTTAAGAAGAAATGCCTGGTCCTCCTCCACCGCCACCGGCAGCACCGCCGCCAATGTGCGCGGCTCCACCTGCCTTCAACCCGCTGTCCTCAAAGTCATCCGGGGACAACCGTGGTGCACTTCTCCAATCGATTCGTCAAGGGACAAAGTTGAAAAAGGCGGCAACAAACGATCGAAGTGCCCCCGTAGTATCGGGTAGGTGCATTTTAAAAATAAAGTTCAGTTCCGCATCCCACATACTAATCTAGGAAATCAAATTAGCGTATTTAAGTGAACGTTGACCCACATGACAGATGTCATTTTTTAGGTAACAAATCCTCAATTTCCAATCAGTCAAACCAGAGTCCCGCCGGTAGTCAACCGTCTAATTCCACTCCGATGACGAACGGAATCGGATTAGGCGGTCTTTTTGCAGGAGGAATGCCAAAGTTACGACCAACAGGTAAGAATCGATTAAAAATTGCCATTTTACCCTATCCTCTGTTGCAGGTTTACAAAACAGTGATACGAACAAAAAAAGTAATTTAAGTAGTAAGTCACCAGTTGCAGATACTCAAAGAAATTTTAGTAATATTCAAAGCGAAGTTCAATCGGCTCTCAAGAAGCAAATGGCGAGCGATAGTAATAGAAATCGGGGGCCACCGCCTCCGGCACCCGTCAGAAATATTAGTGTGAGTATTTATTGTGCTTACGCACGTCCGCTATCTGTCCTAGACGACATCCTTTTTAAAGTGGTGATAATTTTGATAAGTTTTGCGTCATGTACGATGCAAAAATCCTGCTTAAGATTTAACTCTGTATTGATTTGTTTGTTTTAATGAGGTTAGTTTGTGACATAATAAGAGAACGACATTTGTGGGATTCTTTGGAAATCAATAATACTCCTTTAATGAGGACATTGTTTCGTAATTGCTTTCTAAATAGTTCAACTGTGACCATTAATGTCCCTGCTGTGTAATTTAAAGGAAACCTAACGAATTAATAGATACTTATTATTTTATTGCCGGTTGATTCCTCTTGTTGGAAAATGAGTGACCTGCTAAAACAAAGGTTGCCACAATGCGAAGATAAGGGCTTCACAGGACAATCACCTTGTTCAAATGACAAGATTTTAGTAAATCAATCAAGGGAGGCCTTGTTAGCTTTTTAGCTAAATCACCATGGATCAAACCCAATTGTTTAATGTACTTGATGTTCGACGTCGGCATCTTTATCAGCAACTTTGGTCGATATAAAGATAAGACTGATATTTGTCACCAGGATGCCAGTGGATTAAAAAAGATCTTCCAAAATAATAGTAGTTTTTGTTTTGTTTTTCGACTAGGGCGTTCTTACATTTTTTAAATTCCCAATGTCCGAGGATGGTACACCTATGATCTTACCCAAACCCAAAAAAGTTGTTTGAAAATTGTACATTTCAAAAAAACTTAATTTCTTGGATTCTATACTAATGTACTACTTAAACAAAACACTTTCTATAAACATGGCACTTTTAATGTTACGAATATTTTGTGTGTACATGGCCTTCTTACAATTACAAGGGTGACTTTGTAAACATTTTTTAAAATTCCTAATGTCCCAGGATGGTACACTTCTGGGCCCACCGACACCCAAAAAAGTTTTTTGAAAATTGAACATTTCAAAAAACTTAATTTTTGGGTTCTATATGAAGGTAATAAACAAATAAATGTATTTTATTATATTATGACATAATTGCATGCCTAACCTCAAAATCGAGATTACCGTTGGGTAAATTTGTTTGGGTGGTATTTCATTGATGTGTACAGGCTGTCCAAAATTCGAGGGTGACCACTGGGATGTCGGGCACTGTATACAGTGTGTCCCCGGATGGACTGTACAAGAGGGAAAAATTTTTTTAATTTTAACTACGCAAAAATGTGTTATTTTTCTTAAGCTCTAAGGTGTCTTTTTTAACTTGATTTGCTTGTCAGGTTTCCATGGAAGGATACAATGATAGTCTGATTTAATCAAAAACATGCAACTTAGAGAAATTTTTTATAAAGAATGACATTTTTGCGTAAAGTTAAAATTAAAAATTTTTTCCCTCTTGTTCAGTCCATCCGGGGACACACTGTATACAGGGTCATTCTTGACGAGGGTCAGTTAGAAAGATATGGAAAACCGTTGAAAATGAAAATAAACTGATAAGTTCTTTAAGGGTCTTGGTACATGATGAATTGAACTAAAATATTTTCAAGATGGTGCCACTTCCGGAAATACCGGAAGTAGCCATCAACTTTGTTATTTTAAATAGGAACCCCCTATTTTTTCTACATTTTCGGGTTCTACGTCGAATTTGGAATACAACGATACACCATAGTTGACCCTTTGCTCCAAGGGCTTCGTCGATATTCAAGTTTTTATGTCAAAAATTGAATTTGCAGGGGTAATTTTAAAAATTTATTATTCGAAAACGGTAAGAGATATTGCAAAACAGTTTTCAATGGTTTATTAAGGAAAGTTTGAATTTTCTTATAGTATACGAAACCGGTTAAAAAAGTGAGACTACGTCACTTTTTCAAAGCTCTCAACTTTTAAACCATTAAATTTCGGTAACTCCATTTTTTTAAATGGCACCCCCCATTTTGTTCTTCACCGTTGTTTTCCTTTTTCCTAGACCTTTAATTTGATACAAAATGTCAAAAGATGCTTCAAAAGGTTCCGAGATATTCCATGTTTTAGTTACTTCTTGTAGCAAATTAATAAAAAAATTAATTCGCTTGGTGTTATTCTTTTGTTTTTATTATGATAATGTTTAAACGTAAAATAAGCACCATGCAGTAGCTCACGTTCAGAAACACACTTTTAATCCGGCTCATATTCAACAGCACTGATTCTTGAACCCATAGGAATCGAGACAGCATTCTCTCTCTCTTTTCGTTCTAGAGTTAGACAAGGAACAATAATACTGACGAAAGGACAAAACCATCACATAAGAGACTAGAAGAGAAATCATTGAATTTCAGCTAAAAGTCATTCAAAAAATAAAGAACAGTGGACAGAATTTTGTAAATAGGACTTGATATGATTAATTATACTAGAATTAGAATTAAGTTAAATTGTAAATATGTAAACATAAAATGTTTGTAGTAATCCTCACACTTTAGCTAGGGTAAGAGGTTATTTTGATAATATACAGGGTCATTCTTGACGAGCGTCAGTTAGAAAGATATGGAATACTCATAATCCAGCAAATTTGATTCCTATTGTCACAGATATACACAAACAATTGCTAACTTTATGCATTTCATGGGTAGCATATTTAAATCCCTAGATTACTAAAGTAACTTGATTCATTAGGCCAGTGTGTTAGACAAAGACGAACTGCTAATTGAGCAGGTTGACATTTGTTGTTTTGTATTAGTTGTGTGGCAAAAATCCCGGCGTACTGTATTAAATCTTGTAAAATAAAAATAAAAACAAAGTCGACAAATCTCGGTTTTTCTGGCATATCTTCGGAAGTGATCGGAATTTTCTGGTTTTCTTCAACATGAAAATTACACTCTAATTGTGCAACTTTTCCCTTGTCTTGGACACAGTGTATAAGAAGTTCTTTGAAAACGTGGCATACATTTTTTTTTTTTTTCAGAAACCTCTAATGTTTTGAAAATGTTAATGAAGCTGTGTATGTTTTTGAAATATTTTGGAAATGTTTGGGAAAAGTTCAATGTGTTTGATACGTTTCTGATATCGTGGAAATTTCGGAAATATTGGGAAATTTTGAAAAATCATTTTTAGGAAATTGTAGACTTGTTTTGGCACTTTTGACAGTAGTGTATTTTGGAATATTCGGAAATTTCTAGGATGCTTTCTTAAATGTTGGAATGTTGAGAATTCTTTTAATAACGGAAATGTAGATGTTTCGAAATATTTTGGAAAAGAACAGGATATTTTTGAGTTGTTGCGGACTTCAAGAAATGCGTCGGGAATTTTGAGAACGTTTTGGAAATTTTGGAAGTTTTTGGAAATGTTTAAAAAACCAAAGTTGTGAATTTTCAAAATGCAAATTAATATTCAGCAACAAGTTTAATTGTACTTTTTGTATTCTGCTTTGAGACATTCATATGTCCTCTTGCTCGTTGGTCTTTTGACAATAAGTTTATGAAATTCAGTAGTATGGAAAAGTTTCGGAATGTTGACAATTCTTGAAAGTGCCTGAAACTTTCGAAAATTGATAGGCTATTGTCGAAATGCTTGGGACAAAAAATGTGTGGCACAATTTGAAAAGGTACTAAATAAAAACGTTAATAGTTCGTACGCGTTAATCATGCAAGCGGTATCCTTTTCAAAAACGCACTTTTAAATAGGTGCAGGTTTACAATTAAAAATATGAAACTTTTTAATCTTGTTAATACTAAGAAATAACCGATCTATTTATAGTAATTACCTTGACCAAATTGGCTTAATTAAGGTAGTACTTTTACACAATAATGAAACTAGAAATATGCATTACCTCTTGTTTGAAAAGAGTTTAAAAGCTGACTGTAAGTAAATACTCAATGCGTGGCCGTCTTCAAAACGAATTTGAGAGAATTGTATAGTGTGGGTAAATGTTTATATCTGGTTAAGTAAGTTAAGTAAAGAATTTTAAAATGTTGATTTTTAGCAGGGGTCCGACTTTGTACAAAACGTGGCTAAATCATCATACCATGCAAGAAATGGAAGTTCAAATGGTTTACATGTAAATACTAGTTCGTTACATAAATCTCACAATAAATCACCAAGTCCGCAACTGACACCGACATCACCTCAACCTCCGATCAATTTCAGCACATTACACATCAATTGTAGTACATTACATCGAAAAGCTAATAGTAGTGCCAATCTGACAGTATTTGATTCATCAGAAATTACTCCTAGCAATAATAGTTTGCCTGCAAGGCCGTCTAATAGGAAACCTAATCTAGCGCCCAAGCCTCCTGTGTTAAACGGTAAGGTTTGGAAGATCTCTTGGAGGGTAGTAACGCATTTTCTCTAGGTAAACCCCAAGCGCCGCCAAAGAGATTAATTATGAATGGCAAACCGACCAGTATAAGCAGAGCGCAAAGCATGCGAAGCCCCAGGTCGCCCTCCCCGCAAAGTCCGGACGATTGCCACGCTAAATTTGGCACCGTCCGGAATATATCTTCAGTTTTGGGACCGAGAATACGACCGACGCTGAACGGCAGACCGACCGCCCCACCCCCCTCTATTCCACCCCAGCAAACCCCGCCGCCACCGCCTAGCAAATCAGTACCTGTCAAACCGCCGAATCACGCACCTCCTCCCCCGCCCACGAACGCAATCCCCCAACCGCCGAGTCACGCTCCTCCCCCTCCTCCTCACAGAACGGCGCCGGTCCGAGCGCCTCCCGCCGTAAGTCGCGCGCGCGCATCGCCATCGTGTTAACCTCGAGCTTGCAGGTGCCCGTATCAAATTTAAACGCCCCGCCGCCACCACCGCGACACTCCTCGATGCGAGACGCCGCCGCGGCGAATCGTCGAGCGCTGTACGTCGACTTGGATCAACGATTTAAAAATGACTTTCGAACAGTCGACCAATTCCCACGTCCAAGCGCCTACAGAAACGCCCTCAAGTTGTATACAAGCAGAAGCGGTACGTACATATGACATTTCCCTTCTGCACGCTCTTACTAACAGTCGATTATTTCTTCGATCACCTTTATAATTTAATTATTTTTTTTTCTACAGAGACTTGTTAAGAAGACATTTGCATGGCCTTACACTTTCGGATGCATGGCATTATTGTTTTTTGAGTTAACGGCTGCTACTTACTAGTATTTTTTTTTAAATAAAGGAGCAACCTATTGTTTCTGACTTAGTGGTGATGGATTTTCTTCATTGGTCGGTCAAGTGATTTGTTTGAAATTTGTTTAAAGAAACTATTTTCAACTAACTGCTGTTGCTTTCCATAGATATTCTAGAGAGGTGTATTTTTTAACGTCTCTCTGTATTAATACAGTTCTATTAAAGAAAAGTATAGAACAATGGGAGGAGTGGAGTGTGCTGAAAATAATAGTCACTCTGACCGAGTAAATTTTTCTGTATGCTGTAGACTGTTTCGTAGCTCAGATTATGACTACATATTTTGTTAAGATGTAAATTTTTTTGTAGTTTGTAATAAGCAACAGGCGCCTCTTCCTCCCAATCAAATTCATCTCAACAACAGATTGTGGGACTCGTCGACGTGCTAGCAACGCATTTTGCGATGTTTTTCTTTGCTCAAGTGTCGTGCAATTAATCTTTCTCTTTAATATGATTAAAATTCTTTTCTTTAAGTGGCGGTGTATTAAGGAAAAATCGATGTAACTTGATAGTACAGTGGCTGTGGTAAAATATCAGTTTATGTTTGTAACATATTTTCTGAATGATTATTCTATTTTATCTTAAAACTACGGGAGACTGATGGCTGAGATAATTAAATGGAGATTCGCGATAAATCCAATACAAAAGAATTATTTATTGCTTCCATCTAAAATCAAATATTTTTTGTATTAATTTAAGAATGTAGTCAAAAGTAGGTAAATTGTATCGAAGATTACATTTAATATATTAACAGTTTATTGATTATCGCTCGAGAGTGACACTTCGTTTGCGCCTAATGTTGTATTAAAAAAAATGGCTTCGCATCGGAATAGAAGTAAGCGAAAAGACTGCATCTATTGTCGCGAATGATGCAAAATGTTGTGTCATTATCTTGCAGTAACGCATTTCAATGTAGCAATATTGTGAAATTGTTGATGGTATATAAATAATATATTAACACTCGTTACATATGTCGCATTAAACTTTGGTTATCTGAAACCCTCAAGTACTTACGCCCCATTCTAACTTATTTAAAACCACCATTAGTAAGTTATTTCACTAGGTTGAGTTATGATTTGTATTATTGTATTAGTTGTATATTTCAACTTATTTATATTGTATTACTGGTAATTATTTTTACTATTTTTTTTTGTAAGTCATTAAATATTAACTAGTCATATTGTAACTTCTGTGTAGATTAAACTCCAGTGCCTAACAACTCTAAAATGTACCAATGTACAGTTGTAAATAAAGTGTACAGAAGTCGCAAGGTATAATCATGTCTTATAATTATAATAATAATAATAATAATAATAATAATATTTAATATGTGCCATTACGCAGTATCTGCATTTACACTTGTCATTTAACCTAACTTTCCTACATAACTATAACACAAGACAAAAATGATTATATTATATCACAGGTCATAAGAAGTTATAAACTTAACGCTTTTACCGACGAACAAAATTCCTCAAAGGTGTAAAAGGCCTTTGACAGAAGATATTTCTTTATACAGTCTTTAAATAGTTTTCCGGGGAGGCATCTAACATTTACAGGCAAAGAATTATATAATGTCTTCGCTTGGTATTCACATCCGTTCTGGGACGTTGTCAGCCGGCAGTATTGGATAGTTAAATTATCCTTATTACGGGTGTTGTGCGTGTGCTGTTGGACATTCCATTTGAGACTGTCAACGCTATCTCTTGCGTAGCACAAAGCTTGTAATATGTATACGGAGGGGAGCGTCAATATTTGTAATTTAATGAAGACTTTCCGACAGTCTTGCCTGTATCCTAGACCAGCTACTACGCGAACTGCTCTACGTTGTAGTTTGAATATGGTGCAGGCCGATGCACTATGTCCCCAGGCTAATATGCTGTAGCTTATGATACTATGTACTAAAGCATAATATGCGGACACTGTTACCTGTTGGGAAACAGTTTGACTTAATCTACGTAACACATAAATTGACTTGTTGCACTTGGCCCTTACGAAATCGCAATGTTCATGAAAGTTTAAATGAGAGTCCAGCATACACCCCAGAAACTTCGTGAACTTTACAGTCACATTGGCGTCACGTTTTAATGAAAAAGGAAGTGTTATTGTTTTGTTCTCATTGAGTCCGAGTTTATTTACCGCACACCAATTTTTAATAGCTAATAATCCGTGTACCACGTTGTCATAAGCCACATGATAAGAAGAGTCTGCTGAAATTAGCGTAACATCATCTGCATACAGTATACAGCTGACGGTACTAGGAAGTATGGTCGGTAAATCGTTAATATATAATAAAAATAGCAGTGGGCCCAAAATTGACCCTTGCGGGACCCCACTGGTTATTTGTAATTGTTCAGATGTCTCATTGTTGAACCGAACGCACTGCAGCCTGTTTGTTAAGTACGATGAGATTAACTTTGCACTTGCATCACTAAATTTATAAATCAATCTCAGCTTTCTAATAATAATGTTATGCACTACACAATCGAATGCTTTAGAGAAGTCTACAAAAGACACGATTGCGTACTGGCTCTTCTCGTAACTATTTAGAATTTTAGTAGTAAGGTTGATGATCGCGTCTGAAGTGCTTTTTCCTTTTCGGAAACCGTACTGGTGGGCATGTAAGAGATAGTTGGTGCCAACGATGGCAATTTCTGATTACCCAAATAGAATCCTTAACCTTCCAGAACACACACCCGGGCTCAGGGACCTTTGACTATAATTTTATTTCATATTATGGTATTCCTGTAAATGGAGTACTATTCGATGGTATGAGAGTGCTAAGTAAAGTAATGCGCGTTCAACTTTTGGTTAATTAGACCGGTGCGTGTGACCGTGTGTTAGTGTTGCTCTTTTTATGTCCAGATTTTTTCAATAAAAGGTAAGAAATGGCCACTTTATTAGCAATTCCAGTGCTATACTACTTATTTATTTTGTTTTTGTTAAGATTATTTTTTTTAGAATGGATGTATATGATAAGGAACGCCTGAGCCTTCAATGGCAAAGTACGACGACGAAGAGGATAAGGACGAAGTCGATGCACTTGAAAAAAGAAGTGACGATTTTGAATTATAAATCGTTTGATGTCGTTGGCCGCCCCCTCGTTGGACAACATTAAGTAGCAGATAGGTACTTCTTGACTTTTTTTTATTTATACAGTGCGTTATTGTTAACATTTTGTGTTCATTTGATGACGTTACCTTTACTGCACTACTACTGGCAGGTTTTTTTTTATTAATAGGTTCGTTTGTTTTTATTTCCTCACTTTAATGTTTTGTGTTTTCAATTTTTCGCGTTGTAACATTTGAGTAGCAGCCATTTAATGGTTTTCTGAACAGTTTGGGTAAGTCGTATACGTCATTTTCTTTAATCTATTAGACCCGTGCGTGCGCTCGAGTTACAAAATATGATGAGTGTTGCAAACGGGCAGCATATGAATTAAAAATTGAACCATTTATGAAATTAGGCAACCGGGGGGGGGGGGGGTTATTTAAAAAAATAACTACTTTATATCAAAGTACAAACGTGTATATCGATATAAGATCTATTGAATTATTTGAATGTTTTTGTGATAATATTTGCCGTAAAATATTGTAAATTACTTTTTAACTTTGATCTTTAATGAATGTTGATTAATTTGGTATCATATTAGAAAGGTATGGTTACGCAAAATTAAATTTGCGTAAGTGAATTATTAAAAAATGTATACGTGCTCTTCTAACCACCAAACAAATATAGAAAAAACGTTATTGTTTTCGGCTGTTCAATTTAATGTGGCTATTTTATATATACAGGGTGTCTATTATGTATGGAATATAATATGTATCTGTAAATTATCAAATGTATTTTTAGCCCGACGCTGTTAGCTGTTTACACGATCAATTTTATTGTCGTCAATCGGGAGTTGTATAAAACTCGTCTTTGAAGAAGTGCTAAAAATGGCGGATAGTGTCTTTTAGTGGAAAAATATCGATGACTGTTTTTTCCTTCTTCTGTGGTAGAAAAACATTACTCCTTCATCTTTCTCATCAAAGAATAATGTCAACCCGATTAAAATCATTCGAAAAGCGACCGACCTATGGACACGAATTGCCGACTTTAATCAGTCCGATCCATTTCGATCAACGACTACAATTCGTCGCCCCGATGCGGTGAACATCCAGCCAAAGGGTTAACTTTAGTGAAAATATGCTAACTACATTTTTTGTAGGACATTTTCTTCTCTTTAATTTTTCTGATATATTTTTTCGAAAAATATGTACAGTTTTGAAGATATCTGCTAAAAACCGTTTTTGTGGTTGTCTTGGTAAGATGGCGGCGCCGGCGGCAAGTTTCGAATGTGCATCTTGTGCGTTTTAGTTCTGCGCACCCAAACCTACCAAATTTCAAAACTCCCCGAGTTATTTACAGGTAAAAATCGCCAATGCCTACTAGCAGAACATTTAAAAATCGAAAACATTTCCAAACGGTACCTTTTGCTGGTAAACTTTAGTCTTTACGGCACAAACGTATAGCACTAACTAATCCATCTAGTCCCGAAATGTGTGCCGCCAATGCTCTGCTAACTTCACGAACCCCTAAAAAAGCCGTCTGCATCCCTATAACAATGGTTACCATACCCTTTTCAACAATCCAAAATAAGAAATACAAATAAATACATCTTTTAACTGCAGATTTATATTTCAATAAGCATCCAAAATCACAAAGGGGTACATTTATAAGATTGTGATTTTTAATTAACTAACATCTTCGTAATACAACACGATTACTTATATAATACAGTGTGTCCCAGATCACGTGGGATTGCATGGGTAATGTGATGGGGGGGATGTGATTATTTACATTGTTTTGTTTCCTCGAACAGACTTTGTTTTGTCTTTTTTTAATTCATTACAGACTGCTTGATAAAAATAACAAAACCGTTGATATAATTGGTGTCTTACTTTCAATCTTATGCTATCATAGCTCGTTGAAAATAGAATTAAAAATTCTATTAAGTAATCTAAAAATCCAATATGGCGGCTCTTTAACTTTAGGAAGTTGGTAAATGTTTCTCAAAAGTAGACATCTTGAATTTTTGTGGACATCAATTCTAAATTTAGCGTATCAAAAACATCCACTTTTATATAAAACTTTTATATCGTATAATTTCGATGATACGAAGACATTCAAGGAAATGACCAATTTTAGTTTTTTTGAATTTACGTCCGACCTATTCGACATTTTGAACTTCCAGAAGCAAATTTCAAATAAGCATCTAAAACTACAAAACATTGTCCATTTAACTAATTCTCTATCTTTAATAATAAGAAGGTTACCCATGCAATCCCACGCGATTTGGGACACACTGTATTATGTAATTGTATAGGTATCTTTACACAAATACATTATTTAGTGAGATGAATACGAGTGCACTACAAGTTCTATTAAAAAAACTGCTCCAGACACGATGATGCCTATTCCAAGTAAGGCAAACGTGAAAGAAAGATGGTTTAATGTTAAGACCACTACTGCTGGTGGCTCAACATCGAAAATATCTCGTTCTTCCGCAAAATTAGTTTCATAATCACTCAATTGCTTGCTCCCAATTCCAGAATCTCTGATCAAATCTAGAAAGTCATTTAAGTACGGGAAAAAATGATGGTGTTGATCAAAGTGTAGCGCGAATTCAATTCTTCCTGTTACACTACTGTCGGTAATTAGGTGTACATTCAATTTTTTCTTCATCAGGAATTGATATTGCAAGAATTCTTGATATATGATTATTAAAGCACGGTCACTATGTTCATGTATATTCTCCAAAACCTTAATGTAGCCCCCTCGATCGACTGGAACCAATGATCTTTGTAATTTTTGATAAAGGTCACAACTAGAACGATTAGGTGGGAAATATCCATTCTTCAAGCTTAAATCCATGTATATAGATAGATTCGCAATTGCCAATTCTTGTAAGTTATTAATTTGATGTTGGTATCGTGGAACGGTCAGTATGTTAATCAAATTTGATGTAAAACCGCAATTTATATGAATAATGTAAATAAGGTATGTTAAGAAAATGCAACGTAAGCGAAACCCTCCTGGTACGTTTGCAGCTGCCGCAAATATCGTAATCGAGGTGACATCGGTTGCCGAGATTGCCAAGTTTTCGAAGTTCAAGTTGCGTTTATTCCATGACAGTATACACCACCAGACAATCGTGGTCACGAGAAATGCCACCATGATCATAAACCACAGAAACGGTTGAAAAGTCAGAAATATTTTACGTATTGCGGGAACGATTCGAGCTCGTGGTACCACCCAAATTATTTCGTAATTATAAGTAGAATGAGACAAACTATAACGATCTGAGAGTATGGCATTTGAAGGTAGCAATATTATCTGGCGAGTCATTATGTGGGTAAAGGCTTCATCCAAATCTGTATACGGTAATGGGACAAATGTTCCATTATGATAGTGTGCTAATAGTTCAACAAGAAAAAGTTCATATCGCACACCAGGATAGTAGAGTGAGCGGCCAGGGTTCTGTACTAGTAACGTTACTGGACACCTGTTAAGGTTTAGTGTAGTGATTGGACTAATTATTGTAATTGGTGCCTTGCAATCTTGAGACTTGACATTATTTGCCATTTTCCCACAATTATTTGCTGGATCATACCAATCTGCTACATATAACGTTTCCTTTTGTCCACTGTTAATCAGAACGACCATATTGTGTACACCACTTACCCAAAATGTCCTGTATAGCATCTCAATATTTAAATGTACTTCACCCGTTATGAACAATAGGCGAATAATTCCAGCCCCTCTGCCTTGAGAATTTCGCATGTTGACCATGACGTTTACCGACAAAGAAAGCTCGTTCTTACCTTTGCCGCATACCACAAAATCATCACCATAAGAAAAAAATGAAGTTTGATTTAACTTCTTATTAACGTTTAATATTGTGTGTGGAATTACTACTTCTTCTTGAAATAAACTGCTTATGCACAGCGGACTACCATCCATTATCACATTTAAGAACGTAGATTCGGCAAAAAATCTTTGTATCACTTTATGTGTGCAGAGATGTGACGAAGAATTCGCGTTGAATTGCAAAGAAGGGAAACCGACCACCGCACACATGAGGAAACTCCCTAAATAGAAACTTTCCATTTACGTATAGGTACACATCCTTCCAAGACGGGATCAAACTGAAAACCTGCGTACGTTTTGTATTTCAAGTACGGCGCACACAAATTATATATTCAAAAGCACAACTGAATAATGGTAATAACAAAGCAGATAGGTAAAGCACAACTGAATAATGGTAATAACAAAGCAGATAGGTAATGTGGCTAAGCAGGTAATTTTTGTATCATAATTCATTCTAAGGGGAAATTACAGTTCAAACGCGTATGTACCTATAGTAGACATTGTAAACGGTTCGCTATCGACCTTCAGAATGTGACAAACGACTATTTAATACTTAAAGTTAAACATCCAAAGAATTTCATTTTTACTATGACGAATTAACGGCAAATTGGTAATAGAGTAATAACTAAATTTTTGTATTTTGTTAGCGATTCAAATAGTAACCCCGGATTGCTTTTCCATGTTTTTAGGAAATAAATGTAGGTAAGGGTATTATACTATTCAGTTCATATCGAAAAATAAGGCAATATCGCATTGAATAAAGAATCTGAATTTATTCAATGGCAATATACCGTGTGTCCTAGGGAGAACGCTCCATAGGGTAACAGAATTAATGTATTTTTTCGCGAAGGATCCAGGAGCCCTTTGATATGTATTTGAAGTTAACGTTCAATGTATGTATGTACAGTACGTTATTACGCTTGCCTGATGCTAGAAAGAGATTGGAGTAGTACGTTAAACGCTAATTTCAAACGCCTCATGGATCTTACAAGAAAAAGTATATTGCCGTTTCCCTATGGTGCGTTCTACCTGGGACATTCGATGTAAAATATTTTCAAAATGGTCACAAATTACATTCCTTCTATTGCTTATTAGGAGATACATCAATTTGAAGTTCCTACTTTTTATTTAATTTTTGAAAAAATTATCCTCGTTTGAGATCGAAGGAACTTCAGCGCATTTTTGTGTGGCAGATCAGTATTCTATTAACCACTTTCGACTCAACCATCAATAACAGATCTTGTCGAAGGCTACTACAGTCACTAACCGCTTCCCACTTTCCGCGTGCACCCGCAATTCGCTTTTAAAGTTTTGACTCCACCATCAGTAAGATCGTGTCGGGGGCTACCACATTCCCTTTGACGGTACCCACTTCCGGCGTTCCGTTCACTCGCAATTCGCGTTTGAAGATTTGACTCCACCATCAGTAAGATCGTGTCGCCGTCGCGGACTACCACATTCTCTTTGACGGTACCCACTTCCGACGTCCCGTTCACCCGCAATTCGCGTTTGAAGATTTGACTCCACCATCAGGAAGATCGTGTCGGGGGCTACTACATTCCCTTTGACGGTACCTCCTTCCGACGTCCCGTTCACCCGCAATTCGCGTTTGAAGATTTGACTCCACCATCAGGAAGATCGTGTCGGGGGCTACCACATTCCCTTTGGCGGTACCCACTTCCGACGTCCCGTTCACTCGCAATTCGCTTCTATTGGCGACACGAGAAAGAGAGACAGCGATTCGAGATTTACGAAACGTTAAACCGGGTGAGTTCGCAACGGAAGGTAAAAGGGCGCCCGAAGTTGACTACTTCTCGAAGACACGCGCGCGCGCCTCGCAAAAGGTCGTTAATTTCGCCCCTAGGACAAAAAACAAAATTCCGCCACGCAGGAGTTGTGCGCGTTTACAACATCTTTCCGACGACACCAATTTGAAAAGAATCGGACCAAAACTGTAGTAGAAGATAGGAAAAAACTGAAAACCCTTCACGTTAGTATACTACGCTCGAGGATGACGCCCAGATGTCGCCAACCCCACATCATGTAGCCATGTCCCTAAGGTTGACAAATTTCACGGCCATGTAGATACACGTACACCCGTTGCCTTTCTACAAGAGTTCTTCTACGCGCCCACATTTGCTGCCATCCAGCCAGCCAGGCCAAAGTGAGATTTTTACAAATAAATTTGCAAAAATGCGCTAAAAATATACTCGTGGGCCCACTTAGATTGCACCGTTTCGTAATAGTTATTTACATTATTAGTGCGGGAACAGTTATTTTGTAGATGAGCGCGAAGTTTGGCGGCGCGAGTGCGCAACGCATCTCCCGCGAATCAAGCAAATACTGTTCACGCACGTAACATGTATTCTATTTTTTGACCGGATTAGTTAAATCATTCAAATCCTTTTCGCGAGATTTTTGCGACATTATAATTCTTTTGAAAAAATCAAGTCCTCTATGCCGATAAAGTAGAAATCTAGAAATTTAAAATGTCAATTTATTGTTCAAAACTTCTTGTTTAAGCTTATTTTTGCCCCTGTACTACAGGGAATGATGTAAAGTGTATTTATATTATCTTTTGTTGTATCTGTTGTTTATCATGTTTTGAAGTAGCGTAGGTACACGGATATTTTTTCGAATGGCGCCATTTCAAGCCATGAAAATTTTCTAAAGAATTGACAGACGGAATGGCACGCTAATTAAAATCACAGCCGTCTATAATTACAAGCCGTGCTGAGAATTATGGCAACACTGCATGGTAGGCCGATTTCCTAATTCAACTTGACAGATGTTGAGTGTATTTTATATGTGTTTTGGGTGTAATATTCCAATTTACCTGTTTTAACAGAGCGAAATTGCGACAATTTGTGTTACTCCCTACGGAATGAACAGAAATTATTATTCAGGTAAGTTGCTAAATGAAATAATTATATCGATTTGTTGTCATAACATAATAAGCGTGTGCTTCACCTCGACCTCTTTCGACAGAAGTTCACCAATTTCGGAGATCTCGATGGAAAACAAATTATGATGCAGTTACCAATTTACAGCGCTCCGAATTTTAAAGTCAAATAAAAATGTTACTATCCATTTTTGTAAATAAATAATATATATGTACAATTATAAGCTGCCTAAGTATCTCTCTTCTGTATTAAAACCACCAAGGCGAACCACAGGAAAGAGGAAAAATGCAATTTTTCAAGAGTAACAAGACTCCATTAAAACATACCGGCCCCCCCGATTCACTTTCGGACAACGTTGCCAAACTTCTCAGCGTGTAGAAAAAAAGCGTTTCAATACCGCCCTTTAACTTTTAGGTACGAATTTTCTGTATTTCACTTTTTGGTTGTTTTGTATCAGTCGACTAGTTTTTAAATACATTCGATCAGTAAGAAGTGCCCAAAAAAACTATTTGGAAGACTATTAAAGGCCGATTTATAAACTCTTTCATCCACGTTCGCGCTGGCAGTTCGCAGTTCACTGAAGATAGCGAATAGCAAATTAATACTTTCATCCTATATGAACGCTCGCGTTCAAAGATGGGTTAAGTTCAAGGATGCTATATAATATAGGATTGCTCGATCACGGATTGCTCTATTCTACGAAGTTGTCGATTGTGTCGATACAACGAAATCTTCTAATTGATGTGCGGTGCTTTGGCGTTCTGCTTGTTAATAACGATGTTGCGAACTGCACGGCGACATCTTGACTCGATGTGGATCGATCGAGATCTATATGCGAACGACGAAGGCTAATAATCGGCCATTGAATAACGGCGACTTCTCAACGTAGTTGAGTCGATGGCTTCTAAGCGAAGAATGGGGCGAATTCTGCGCGACGAGTACACATATTGCGCTTCTGCGGCTCATGCGCGCACACGTAGCAAATAGGAATATATGCAAGATATATAGAGACTGGTAGGCGCGCTTATACCTGTAAAATTTGACGCCAAATCCGGCGCTAGGTAAACTCAATCCATAGATGGCGCCATGGTGATCAGTGTACTTCAACTTAATGTCATTTAAATTGTTTTAGGTTATGATGTTATGTACAAAAATTTTTTACTTAGCGACTTGGTGTGGTTTGGCATCTACAGTGTGTTATACCTAGTTATTGTTGCAAACAATTTCGGTAAATAAAATAGACAAGTACTAATCGGATGTATAAGCAAGCAAACTTGCACATCGCACTGTTCACTTTGCTAAAGTTCAAAGTTACCTACAGAGCATTGAGGAGTTCCACTAAAAAGGATGCTCGTTATCACAGTAAATAGTAGCGCAATACCTGCATTACAGACTTCTCACCCCGTCTAGCTGTCGGAGCTTGTACTGGATCAAGCGAAGTCAACAAGTCATTGATCAATGTAAACCATATGTGAACAAACCAGGAGCCGCCCTTCTTATATTAAGATAAGCATCAAATGACCCTCACCTACACAATCTACGGTGTAAGCAATCATGCCGAGAGCTGTAAGAACCTCTGACACAAAATCATTATTGCCTGTTTGATTAGCGAGATTCTCGGCTGCTGAGATGGGGATTGAAGGAACTGGCAAAAGTCTACATTATTACTGTTAAGATGGAAGGTAGGGGACCCGACTTGTTCAACCAACCTTTTTATTTCATAACTTAATCTCGGAAGCTCCCAGGATCTAAATGCTGGATAGAAGGG